ACACACACACACACACACACACACACACACACACACACACACACACACACACACACACACACACACACACACACACACACACACACACACACACACACACACACACACACACACACACACACACACACACACACACACACACACACACACACACACACACACACACACACACACACACACACACACACACACACACACACACACACACACACACACACACACACACACACACACACACACACACACACACACACACACACACACACACACACACACACACACACACACACACACACACACACACACACACACACACACACACACACACACACACACCACACACACACACACACACACACACACACACACACACACACACACACACACACACACACACACACACACACACACACACACACACACACACACACACACACACACACACACACACACACACACACACACACACACACACACACACACACACAGAGAGAGAGAGAGAGAGAGAGAGAGACTCAAACACATACACTCATATACATAATATACACGTACAGACGACATACATAAATAAACTTAAAAATTAAAAACACACACATGAATATATAAATACATATGAATATATACCTAGATGTTTGAAACTGTAATTAATAATCAGGACCTTTTTTATGTATCTACTGTTTCAGCATTACTGGTAACTGTTGTTGAATCCTCGGCATTTTATCGCCATAGCTATGGCAGGTAAATTGTTTTTTTAGTTTTACATACAAACATATGTAGTTTACATAGCTTCACACCTGCCTTTTTGTAGTTCATACTAGTAGTGGGTATATACCAATTTCCTAGGCGATTGGTTAAATGATATAAGTTGATGTGCTTCAGCGCCATCTAGTAGTGAGTTATAAAAAAGTGGATAGAATAAAAATACTTGAAGTAGAAATAAAATAGCCACCTTCATTATGTTGATAATTTACGTTGGTATTATGTTACACTTTTCCAAATTTTACCTGTCGAGCCGACAGAAGAGTGCTACACCAATAATACAATTCGGTTGGGTTACATTTGAAATATTTTCATATTCGCATACAGAAGCGTAACTGATGCTATTCAAAGCCATTACAGATATCCCTAGTAGCTCATATCTGCCAGCACCAGTATAGTCTACATAAATAAAATAAAATTGAAGTGTGTGTGTTTGTAATGTCAAAATAACACCTTTTTACGAAATGTATATAAAAGTATATACGGTAGGTAATTATAACAAAAAAAAACATTTTATAAATTTTTGTCTGTCTGTCTGTACGTTTGCTCCGGCTAATCCGAAACGGTTAGACCGATTTTGATGGAACTTTCACTGGCAGATAACTAATGTTATAATGAGTAATTTAGGCTAGTAATTTTAGACAAAGTATTAGGGTTCCTCGCAAAAAAAATATCAAATCCATGAAATCCAATCGTAATAAATTCCACGCGGGCGGGAGGCAAGTTGCGGGGAACAGCTGGCTCTCTAATATAATATATTGTAAAATATAATTCCACTTCTGATGTTAGAAATTATTATCAAAATGATTTAAATAAAAGAACACCACTCGGTAACAAACCCTGCTTACTATCAGGACCCCAATTACATGATAACACCAAAGTATGCAAACTAACAGCATCACTACCCATCTCAATGTAAGACAGGGCAGCCTCTCAGCAACCTGATTTTCCTTGCCTACACTAGAAGTATACCCCAACGGGCATAATAACGATAGTGAAACTCTTAAAATTACAGACTGATACTTTATACTGCTAGATCAACTGGGAGAGCTCATTCCCAACAATATAGTATAACATCTCTAATCAGTTTTATATGACCTATTCGTACACGTCTTTTGATAATGGTCAAATAATAGAAATATAATAAAAATAACTACACAGCCACCTCATCATTTCCAGAACCGAGAACACTGTGCAACAGAACACGTCTTTAATTCGACAGAAGCGAGACGACGACGAATGTAGGTAGGTAAAATGTAAATACAAATATCACATTTGGATCTTAAGGTAGGGTAGTTGTGGGTACCTACGTAAGGTAAAGTAGAGGAGTTTGTACAGTTGTCATCTTTCTTTTTCAACTTCCAAAAAAAGGAAGAGGTGCTCAATGTGACCGTATATTTTTCTAGATAAACCAATTTCGATGATTGTTTTTTTCATGTGGTCCCATATTTGACCAAGGTGTGACGAGTAGTTTTTGGGTTATCCTTAATAATGCGTATTAAATTGACTTCGACTACATTAATGATGTTCTCATTTTATTTATATTGAAGTTGGTTGTAGAAATTTTTTAATTTTACCACTTATTAATCGGCCCGTTACTCCACATGGGCATCTCTTAATGCAAGGAGGTTTGCCTTAAGCGACACACTGGGCGAGATCATTTAAAAATGCTGTTTCAGATCTTTCATTTGTCACAATCTATGGGGGAAGCCTATTTTCAGCAGAGGACTTTATAGGCTTTAGAGGCTCGTTGGTCTAGTGATCGCAAGCGTGACTGCTAATTACGTAGTTCCGGATTCGAAGTCAGTGCCGAGCTAAATAAACGCGTCTAATATGATATGAATAAACTCTAATGAATAAACTCCAGACGCGCGTCGGAGTCAAAACGCGCCATTTTTAACAGGCTTTTCATATCTTCGAGTGTAGATATATCTATCTATGTAACGGAATCTTTTAATGTATCAGTTTTCACTAACTTGTATCCGGCCGATTGACTTGAAAATTTGCATTCGTATCAAAGTCCGATCACAATACAATAATTAAATAACTTTGTCCTAGTATCCTGATCAGGATCACCAGGATAAAATAAAATAATAATCAGGATCATCACGGCTCATGCTCGATGCGTGGTAAGCTTTTTTAAACTCTTATATTATTAGTGACTTATACCAATTTTATATTTCTTTCAGTATCAATGAATTCCAATGCGATGACGGATTTTGTGTGCGTGTTAACAGCGATTGCAACGGGGTGTACGACTGCTCAGACGGCAGTGATGAAGCTTTTGTACTATGCAGACAGAGAACGTAAGATGTCCTTCTCAATTAATGTAATCATCATTCATCACAGGTTCACAAGTTCACTGCTTTACATAGGTCTCCCCTAAAGAATGCCACAAAGCACACGTCCTTCGATTTCTTGCATCTCTTACCAGGTCTTCATTTCATCTAGTGTGGGGTCGCCCTACACTTCGCCTGCCGGTACGAGGCTGCCACTCGAGAGCTTTTCTTCCCCATCGGTTGTCGGTTCTTTGAGCTATATGGCCGGCCCATTGCCACTTCAGATTAAAATCAGTTGGGCTTTGTCGGTCACGCTGGTTCTACTTAAAAATCCTCATATCTAAGTTTATCACGCAGATAAACTCCAGATATAGGCTTCTCCATACCTCGCTGAGCGACCTTGAGATTCCTCATACGGCCAGCAGTGAAGGACCACGTCTCATAAGTCATCTCTCGCAACACACGCTACACTACACTAACGGTACTGGTTGTTAACTAATGTAACATCATGTACAATTTCCGGCCATATATTTTATAGCAATAAGGACGAAAAACGAGCACACAGTCCACTTTTATCACCACGCTATTAAGAATCAAAATGCAGATGCGTTGTTACACCCAGAACTAAGATAGAATGCCCCGTTTCCCGCTTCCCGAAAAAGAGTTTACGGTTTTTTTGCCGCTGGTATTTTGTGAGTGTGTGGTCCACGGCCGAGCCAATCCATTCGTGCCACAACCATATTATAGCTATAGCATGGCTTTACTACGTACTATTTTTGTAAATGAAGTAAGGGTGAGAAACAAGCATATAGTCCACATCATTTGTATGGTGTTATGGATGATTAACCATCCCTAAAGATGAGGTAATCGCTACCAAGCGAATTCTAATATGATTTGTATAGTTTATTGTGAAAGATGAGGTAATCGCTACCAAGCGAATTCTAATATGATTTGTATAGTTTATTGTGTATGATAATACATGGTTGTAAACAGTACATTTCATAAAAAAGTCCCACTGCGTTGCTTCCAGATTCTAATCAGGACAGATATATATATATTTTCTTAACCAGTGGTAAATTAAACATAAGAATTACTTTCACTTATATTGGATAGAAAAATTCTATTTCTGTTTGTATTTCTGTGGCCCAAAGACAGTTGCATCTATCTAAATGTAGAAAGTGTTGACAATCAATTTTTAAATGTTGCTATCTGGATACATAGAGTTAACAAGACATAGACACGGGCGATTTTTTTTACAAACGGGTGAAGAACGTAAAGAAATTGTGGATCATATAATTTTGAAAACTTACTTTTTTACGTGCACAATTTAAAGAGCTTTCATTGAATGCTAAAGAGAATGCTAAATAGGACTCACTGTTTTTATTTTTGTTTCTTTTTCATCTCTACGCAAATTTTCAGTTCACTCACTCACGTTTCTTTTCGTTAATGGTTTGGTTAAATCTCTTGTAGTCTTCAATTAAATTCAAATTTTTATTTAATAAGGATTACAGGAGATAATACTTCATGTTGTTGAGCTGTTAAGCACTTTATCATGTATATGTACATGTAAATGTGTATGGATGTATAAATATATATGGGTACCATGTATTATTATTATTTCCAATTTAATATGCTAACACAACACAGATGTTTACCAAGATCCCCCGTCGAAAGGTGTGGTGTAAGTGTGTGCCTAAAACAAACACCTATACACTTTCCCCAGTGTGCTGAGGAGACTAATTGGTCTGTAACTAGAGGCTAAATGGTGCGGTTTCCCCGGTTTCGGGATTCCTATTACGTCTGCCTCTTTCCATGCATCCGGGAAGGAGCAGATGGAAAGAAGAGCGTTGAATATGCCTACTAAGAGGCATACTAGCGACGTGGACTGAGACTCGTAAACTCCTATTGAATCGCCTTTGTAAATACGTCTTTACCAACAAGCTTCTTCCAGACGAGCAGTTCGGCTTCAGACCTGAACACTCATGCATCGACCAGTTACATCACCTCACAGAATACATTCTGAAAGGATTTAACATCCCACAAAGTTGTGGCAGAACCACCATAACTGGTGCCCTCGTCCTCGATGTGACAAAATCGTATTTGACAAATTCTGACACGACGGCTTACTTTACAAGTTGTATAAACTCAGCGTGCCTGATAAGCTCATCCACATCATCAGATCCTTTCTTGCCAATCGCTACTTTCGCTATCGAAAGAGGATATTCGCTCTACAAAGCGTCCTCCTCAAGGCTGGAGTCTGACAAGGCTCCGTCCTCTCCCCACTACTCTTCACACTCTTCACGAGTGATATCGCGAAGCACCCAGTAGTGAATACTGCTCTTTTCGCAGACGACACGTCACTTTTCGTCGCTCACCCCACTAAAAGATACCTCACCAAGATGCTCCAAACAACCGTCAACCGCCTAGGCGAATGGTTCTGCTTGTGGAGAATCGACGTGAATCTTGAGTTTTTTTTGCAATACGCTTTCAAAGGATCTCCACTTTCAATCGTCAGATCAGAACTCCAAGAAATCGTTAGGTACGATCACCCTGTACGGCCACCGGATCCCCTGGCAGGCAACCAACGGCCAAATACCCAGGGGTTACATTCGACCATGGTATGACATTTCCGTAGCACATTCGCGATGTCCGAAACAGTGCAAAATTCGTCACTAGTCGCCTCCACCTGCTAGTTAACAGCAAGAGGAAACTGTCCTTAAGACACAAGCTCCACCTTCATAAAGCGTGCGTAAAAGCTATTATGTTTTACGCAAGCGTAGTTTTCGCGCCAACCATAAACCATAGTCATTTGTACGACCTCCAAATCGTCCGAAATAGATTCATTCACAAAGCAACCGGGGCTCGGTGCTATCAGTGAAACTCGGACCTACAAAGAGACCGAAAAATCAAAATCAAAGTCAAATTCCGACAATTTCTGAATACTTCAAGGATATGTTTCGGTGCTATTTCGAGAGGGCCGAGACACACCCCAACGCAGTGAATCCGCAGAGGGGCGCTCCGCACACCCCTGCTGCGGCGGCTGTTACCACCCAGAACATAAAACGATACGAGTCAGCCATCAGAGCCGGGGCCCGCCACCCCCTGTTCGGACGGCCGTTAGATAACTTATCCATGTTATGTTAACGTGATCACTGAACTGAACACAATATTATCCCACTCCCCAAGATTATCGATTTTAGTGCAACGTCGTATCCGCAATGTTGCACTAAAATAAATAATCTCCTCTCACCCTTTTTATAGGTCGTGGCCTTTCAGGCCACAAGCTCTGTGTTCGATGAAGCTGTAAGAACTGCATGGGCTATTAGCATTTAAATTCACAGAAACTAGATTTGTCTCTAAACGTGGCATTCTCAGTTTTAAGTACGACTTTGCGAACTGCTCAAACTAGATTTTTTGTACTGTCTTCAAAAAGGAGGAGGTACTCAATTCGACTGTATTTTTTTTAGATTTTTTATGTGTGTTACCTCATAACTTTTTTCTATGTGAACCGATTTTGATGAATCTTTTTTATTTAAAAAGCTGGTGCTTCTAATGTGACCTCATATAAATTGATTAAGGTTTGACCAGTAGTTTTTGAGTTATCCTTAATAATTTATATTGAAGGCGGTTGCACAAAATTTTTAGTTTGACCAATTAATTTTTAGCATCTTAAACCAATATTTTTATATTAAACGTACAAATTTGTATTCCAGATGTTTTAAACTGCAGTTTAGGTGCAACTATGGCGCGTGTATCGAAATGAGCAGGGTGTGTGACAAAGTGAGGGACTGCGTGGATGGCTCCGATGAACTGCTGCATAGATGTAATGGCGGACCGTTAATAGTTGGGTAATTTTATTAATAAAATCTTTATCTTTATACGCATACTATTCAGATCATAATTAAACTTTTAATAAAAATTAAAAACCTCTTCAAAAAACTTCAAGGTGGTAAAGTCATGTTGCAGCTATATTATGCTTGTAGCACGAATGAGTCGACTTGACCGAGGATCACGCTTTCACAGAATACCAGCGTAAAACAGCAGCTTCATGCTGCTTTGTTTCGTATGGAGAACTGTGGATACCCTTTTTAATGGTAACGAGATCTTCTATCTTAGTCCTCAGGGGTGACATTGCAAATGCATTTTGATTCTTAATCCAGGGTACTATAGGCCTCAGCATTCATTTACCATCAGGTGAACTGTGTATCACCCTTGTTCTATAATTCTCTCGGCCACACACACATCGCGATAAAATTATCGCGATAAAACTTCGCCTTCAGCCTAGCGCGAAGGTGTCTGGCCACACTGCACAACCGATGCGGAAGAACAATCGATGCGGAAGAAAGGTTCTCGAGTGGCAGCCTCATTCCGATACGTGAAGTGTGGGGCGGCCCCCCACTAGATGGAGTGACGACCTGGTAAGATATGCAGGAAGTCGATGGATGCAGGTGGTTCAGGACCGTACTTCGTAGCATTCCTTGTGGTTGGTCTAGGTTCAGCGTGGACTTGTGAAAGGCTGTAATGATGATGATGATGAGTGTCGTAAAACACTCGGTTGGAACGAAGTTCCTTTCGTAGTATATTATTATTGATAAACGTATTACATTATTGATTAATAAATACAAATAAAAGAATTACTAGCGTCTATTAAAATTAAGCGTCACTTAAAATAATATTTCTCTCATGGACATAATCCGGCCAGTAGTGAAGGACCACGTCTCAGTTCCATAGGTCATCACTGGCAACACGCATTGCTTGTACAGTCTCGTTTTCAAGTTTTGAGGTATCCTGACGAGAAGATGTGCCGTAATTTCCCGAACGCTGTCCAACCGAGTTGAATCCGTCGATTGACCTCGCGGTCGAAGTTGGACTTACCTATCCGGACTATTAGTCCCAGGTAAACATACTCATCAACAACTTCGAGCTTAGTGCTCCCAACAACTACCGGCATAGGTGTGACATGGACATTAAACGTGATCTTTATTTTGTCCATGTTCATCTTAAGACCGATCCGTTGGGAAACACTATTGAGGTCATCGAGCATAGTACTTAGGTCCCATAAGGGCTATATCGTCGGCAAATCGAAGGCGAGTGATTTACTCGCCATTGATGTTGATACCGTATCCTTTCCAGTCCAGAAGCTTGAAAACGTCTTCTAATGCAGCGGTGAAGAGTTTAGGGGATATGACGTCACCCTGTCTTACACCTCTCTGCAATTGGATAGGTTTCGTACTCTGGTTCTGTACTCGGATAGCCGTCGTGGCCTAACTGTACAAGCACTTCAGCACTTCGATATACCGACAGTCAACTTGGCACCACTGAAGGGACTGCAACACCGCCCAAATTTCGACGGAATGAAAGGCTTTCTCATAGTCCACATACCCCAGACATAGTGGCAAATTGTACTCTTCGGACTTCTCTACAATTTGCCGAAGGGTATGTATGTGGTCTATGGTGCTCAAGTTGTCAAGTCTGCGCGCGAGACAATTCGTAATGACTCTCTAAAACAACACGTAGACGCGGCTCAGAAGGGAAATCGGTCTGTAGTTCTTCAAGAGAGCATTGTCACCTCTCTTGAAAAACAAGACCACCGCACTTCTGCTCCACGCCTCCGGTGTAATGCCACCATGGAGGATAGAATTAAAGAGCTTCTGAAGGACTTCAAGTACCGGTTTACCATCCGCTTTCAGAAGCTCCGCTGTAACTCCATCCTCGCCTTGAGCCTTGCCGTTTTTAAGATGCTGGAGAGCCATTCTAATCTCGCTCAGACTGACGTCCGGGATATCATCGTAATAGTGTCGGATAAGACTCGCTCTTGGATCGTTACTTACACTTGCGTGTGGCTCCAACGATGATTTTTTTTATAGGAGAGGGGGCAAACGAGCATGCGGCTCACCTGATGGTAAGTGACTACCGCCGCCCATGAACAACTGCAACATCAGGGAGGGAATTACAGATGCGTTGCCGACCTTTTAAAAAGGAGTACGCTCTTTTCTTGAAGATCCCTAAGTCGTATCGGTCCGGAAAAATTGCTGATGGTAATCGATTCCAGAAGGAATTCGTGCGAGGAAGAAAACATCTTCTAAATCGCACAGTGGTGGACAGCCAATCATCCAGATGATGTGGATGGTATCGGGAGTTCTGCCGCGATGTGCGTTCGTGAAATTTGGCGGCTGGGATTAATCCGAACAATTCCTCAGAGCACTCCCTGTGGCAGATGTGAAAGAAAATGCAAAGGGATGCAACATCTCTTCGCATTCGCAGTGCCAATGAATCGAGCCGATCGGAAAGGACTCGGTCGTTGACGATTCGAGCTACTCTGCGCTGGATGCGGTCAAGTGGAAGGAGCTGGCACTGGGGAGCCCCTGCCCAGAGATGGGAACAGTATTTCATGTGAGACCGAACCTGCGCCTTGTAAAGTTGCAGGCGGTGTGCCGGCATGAAATACTGTCCCGCTCTGCTGAGCACGCCAAGCTTTTTAGAGGCCAATTTGGCCTTCTCTTCCAAGTGACCACGAAACTGCACGTCACTCGATATGTCGACGCCGAGGATTCCTATACTGGCTGAGGCAACAAGAGAAGTACTTTGAAACTGAGGAGATACGACAAAGGGGTTCGTTTTAGCGGTAAACGCGCAAACTTGTGTCTTCTGAGGATTAAACTGGACTAAAGACTCGACTTCAGACACAAGTTTGTTCCGGTACTCGGCGACGTTTTCCCGAGAAATATTGGCACGGCCGGTGTATAGAGCATCACCAGTGCTGTCATCCGCATAGCAATGAATGTTACCAGTTAGCAACATATCATTGATTGAAGATTTGTTAAATGGCGCTGCCTACTCGTGGATAATGTTGCCAGGCGTTCGGATAGAGCAGGACACCGTCAGGTTTTTATCTTGCGTTTACGGTCAAATTAGACGATGTCCGGCCATTCCGGCTTTTGTTAGGGTTTTTAAATTGTGGTACCTAATTTGTTTTACATTGTCATGTGTTAGTTTCCGCTACGCCCGCCTAACTTTGTATCACTAGCGCAAGCGAGCGGACTTCCAATGTCCCCTCCGCGCCCTATAGTATAAATAAACGTTTTGTTTTAATTTGTTTTCAATTGAAAATTGTAATAGAAGTTTATTAGTTACTGCTAACTACTATGGCAATTATTAAAATTAATATTGTAATGAATATTCAATGATTACTAATAAAGTAGTTAGTATTAAATTAAAAAAATTAAGTAGTAAATTAAAATTTATTTTTTCATTAGATTTTAAGATTTTATGGTAAATGGTAAAAAAAGTCCTCTTTTACTTTAAAAAAAAATTGTTATGTTGTACTAAGACTAAAAGATTTTGTGTCTGTCCGAATTTTCGGTTTTAAAACCTATCAACCCTAATGATTTCTTATATTTGCGCGAACACTACACATTGAATAAAACTATTTTTACTTGTTGCTGTAAAGCACCCGAAACGCCGGGAATTAAAATAGTAAATTAAACTCAATAAAATCCGTAAAAATAGTTTTATTCAATACCTAGCAACCCTATTTATGGATATACGGTGGACAAAATGTTACTTTATTTATTTTGGTTACTGGGTTTTACGGTCAATAAAGTTTCAGTAGCAGCCCAGTAGGAGTCAGGAAGTTAGTGGGGTTTGACACTGGTCCCTCGGAAAGCACGTAAAGCAGTTGTTCCTGCGCCTGATCTCTCTCCGGTCGTGTCGGAGTACTTAGGCACTATAATCCTCGCAGATGGCTAGTCTCCGTTGAGACTGGCCGCCGTGACCGAAATTCAATCTGGAGGACATTATTATTATCATCCCAGACATCGAGTTATATGTACTACGTACTAGAGAAGCCTTCCTAAACAAAAAATGTGCATTTCTCTGTCTTCGCGCATGCGCGGGAGATAGTAAAGTCGCGCATGCGCAGTTGATAAAGCGCGTTGCGCCTGCGCGGTCAGTTTATATAAAGAAATATATTTTTTCATGATTTTTTCTTTTGTAATATTATGATGTTATTACCTATTTATTCACTTGAACAACAAATAATTTTGCTTACTTGACTCCTGAATTGTTACTTACGTCCAGGTTTAAACTTTAATTTGATATCTTGTATTATTACCGCCGCTCCACACTGCATGAATATTGAAACCACAGACTAACTAGTAGATTGAAACCACACTAAATGACACACTGTACGCAGTACATATATATCGACGATTCCAGCATTTTCCTTTTTACTTACACTATATTTCCTTAGTGTTTGATATCACTTTTGATTTGCAGGGAACATTTTACATGTCGAAATGGTCAATTAATACCGAAAGCCGGCCGTTGCGATGGCGTCGTCGACTGTGCTGATGGCTACGACGAGAGTATCGCTGCTTGTGCCGAGTTCACTTGCCAGTCCGGTCAGTTCCAGTGTGAATATGGGGGGTGCGTCGATGGCAGCGCCAAGTGTAATGGCGTAAGTGGCTTATGGCATTTTTTTATAAATACTAGCAATGCTATTCACATTGATAATGCTTGTGTTAGGAGTTGTTTCAGAACAGTAGTCGAATAGCGGGTTCGAACCCACGACCTTTTGAGTTTGCGGTCCGCACCCTGCCATTAGGCTACTGTCCCTTGTATTGTTAGAATGAGGAACACACTCGCATATTAGTTTCTAAATAGTTCTCTTCTGAATAGTACTAAAGTATTATGATAGGAGTTTAGCTGCCCGTAGGCGTAGTGGTTTTAAGTGCAACTACTGATCATGTACTCCTGGGTTCGAATCTCAGGTTGCACCAAAATCTTAAATAAATTCTCATTAGAAGTCCGGAGTTAGAAAGTTGGCGGTGTTTCACCTCCGTGCGTAAGAACAAGTAAAGGCCAACGGCACAAGCACATAAGGACCAAAAGTACGTAACTTTTTCAACTATCAATGTTTTTATTTATTTATTTATTTAAGGACAGCCAGAGGTAATGACAATAATACATGTTCACAAAACATAATATATAAGCTTAATTTTTAAATGTAAAACCTATTAAAGGCAGCCACAACATGCTTCACAAGAAGAGTAAACACTTTATAACATAAATTACAAAATATTAGAAATATAACCTTAAAATAAATCAAAAACCAAGAAATACCAAAAATATTTAACAAAATATAAACTAATAATCTGAGACACCTTAAAACAATACAGGGGAAAAAACACAATAATCAATTAAACCAAATAACAAAATTAATACATATCAAACTCTTAAATATTATCTTTTAAGTTCTGTAGCACTGTTTTTTTAAAAGAGGATGAAGTATTGATAAAAATGTCCACAGAATTCGACATCAAATTCAGCAAACGTGACATTCTAGCTAAACTATTGTTATGACCTAGATTAGATTTAGAAGGAAGTGGATGGAACAAAGGTACAGATTTACGCGGATAACGCCTTGGTACTTTAAATTTTATTTTTCGCAATAGCTCAGCGCTGTCCGTAGTTCCGTGCACTATTTTATAAAACATTACCATGTCCAGATACTTCCTTCAGTTTGACAAGCTGTCAACGCCGAATAATTTTAACTTCTCATTATATCCGGCAAGTTTTTTGTCATTTATATTATTACAATAAGCTAGATTCCTCATAAACCGTTTTTGTATCCTTTCTATACGTAGTTGATGGACTTTGTATTGTGGTGACCATATTACGCTCCCATATTCTATTATGCTGCGGACATAGGTATTAAATAATATTTTTTTTAGTTGTGATGTTCTTAAAGGTTTTACTGTTTCTTAATATGAAGCCTAAAGTCCTTGAAGCTTTCTCTATCATGCGGTCCATTTGTGGAGTAAAAGTCAGTTTAAAATCCAAAAAAAAATGCCCAAATACTTAACAAGATCCACAATCTGTAATTCTTCATTATTTATTTTATATTTCATTTTAAATGGAGATAATGTACGTGTGAAAGAGATTTGATAACATTTAGTTGGATTCAGCTGCACATTATTAATGCTACACCAATTTACTAGACCATCAATATCATCTTGTAAAAGTTGTGAATCATTGGAACAATTAATTAATTTTTTAATAGGATAAGGGTGACAAACAAGCACACAGTCAACCTGATGGTAAGCGGGTGCTGTGGCCCATAGACATCTACATCTATCCTCGATTACGAACCAGAATGCAGATGCGTTGTAACACGTGACGACTAAGATGGAATGCCTCGTTTCGAGTAAAAAGGGTCTCCGGTTCTCTACACTCACCATACGAAACACAGCGGCATTCAGCTGCTATTTTACGCTGGTATTCTGTTAGAGCGTGGTCCCCTGCCCCGGTCGAGCCGATCCATTCGTGCTGTAACTATACCAGTAGTACAGCTTCAACATGGCTCTACCACGTAGAAAATTATTATTAATTATTATTAAATTAGTTGCGGATTATCCTTAAGGCAAACTAGGCATGTGCCTAGATGCGCACGGTTAGAAAGGGCGCGCGCGGAGGTTTTTAAATAAAAAAATAATCGTCTATTTGATTACTCCTATATCGCCCTCAGTTCTTATCACATTTTCAATCACGCCAACCTGTCAAGGTTACTCGTGTCCTAATTATTTTGCAACTATTACGTTAAAATTAAACTATTGTCCATGAGTGTACTTTATTTGCAAAATGAGTAGTTATAATTTACAATATATGGCCGCTAAAGGCCTAGAGTCGACATTTAAAACGAAATGCATGTTTTTAAAGAAACTATCGCTGTTGCTATAAGGACAATTGCAAATCCGACTGAATAGCCTAAGTAAAAAGGCATAATTCGATGTTTAGCTCTCTACCGTTTCCTCCTCCAATATTGGACCAATTTAAAAGATATTTTATAAACTGAATAAGAAGGATATACACTGTGTCCCTATGTTTTTCTTTTTGCAGTATTAGTTATCAAATTTGAACACTAGGTCTCTGTGAACAGCGTTCTAAATAGGCAATTATAAGCATTTTGTTAGGGCTCTAGTGCTTATAAAGATAACATATTAACAGAAAGGAAAACAAAAGGACATAGAAGAGGTTGATATTTATTTTACTGCAAAAACTCATTGCTATGAGGTCATAAACCAGAAAGATAACAAGCGAGAGCGTTTGTGTGGAGAAAAAACGCCGCCTCAGACCAAAGTGAGAGAATAGAGAGTACACCTGTGTTTTAGCACACACACGTCTACTATCGTCCTGCCTTGTGGAGCACTAGCCAGTCTTCGTTGAGACTGACCACTGTGACCGAAATACGGTCAGGTACGTGGGTACAGTTTGGAGTGTTTTACTAAACTAACTTTAAGCAAAGAGGGTCTGAGAAGGTTGTTACTCCGAAGGCTTTTGCATTGATTTTCTTATACTTCAGATAATGCACAGCAATGCAGGTCCTGCTTGGCGGCATAAGTAGGTAAGGGCAACCTTTTCTTTATCGAATAATGGTGACCAGCACACAGCCCACTTGATGGAAAGTGGATGCTGTGGCCCAAAGACATCTACATCTATCCTCGATTGATAACTGCCTCCACAATACAGGAGAAATTCCAAGCGTGGGGCTAATGATAAACAAAAATACAGTACGGCATTTTTATTGGCCAAGCCTTAAGAACGTTAGACTTTAGAATCTCCGACTAGTATTAAATAAGAATCTGTGTGTTCCTTGCGACGCTGACCACAAGTTCTTGAATACTGAATACTGTATTCAAGAACATGTATTGAACTTCACAGGAGTTGATCTTGTTAATTATCTTCTTTGTTTAAATTTTATTCTTTTTGACTGTTTAACTTGCAGACAGCTGAATGCCGTGACGGATCCGACGAACAACTTGGGCTATGCGGCAAATTGGCTTATGTCAAAGTTAGCGATCTCACCAGCACTACTACGGAGCCTCCTGTGAGCAGTAACAAGTATGTTTAAACTGCATCTGGTTCATTTCATTTTCTAGATCTGTTGAGGTAACATTAAGGTAGGTTTTCAATCGATAGACTTGAGAAACTTAGTAGCCACTTTTGTAACTTTGAGGTGAGCTTCTTTTTATAGGATAAAGGTGAAAAACGATCATACAGTCCACCTGATGGTAAGTGGATGCTGTGGCCCATAGACATCTACGTCTATCCTCGATTATGAATCAAAATGTAGATGCGTTGTCACCCCTGAGGACTAAGATGGAATGCCTCGTTTCAAGTAAAAAGGGTCACCCGTTCCCTACACTAATCATACGAAACAGCAGCGTTAAGCTGCTACTTTACGCTGTAATTTGTGAGAGCGTGGTCCTTCCCCGGTTGAGCCGACCCAATCGTGCTACAACCTAATATAGTTGTAGCATGGCTCTACCGCCTTTATTCCACAGATATACAAGTTTTCTCACGATTTTTGCCTTCACTGTATGAGCACGACGCCATGAGTAATGATGAGAAGCTTATCATCTCTCCAAATTTCTTCAACAGATGCATACTGCCGCGTCAACCAGAAAACGGAGTCTACAAGGTAATCAGCGAGACCAACTCCAGTGACGCCGACTACGTGTACTTAAAGTACGAATGTTATTCAAGGTTCAAACTTGTCGGCGAATCTAAAATCTTATGCTGGAGAGGCGTTTGGCCAGTGAAAATGCCATACTGTGTTCGTAAGTTTTAACGCCGTATATTTATCATGGCACTGATATATGTGTATATTATTAGAGTATATAATATAATGTATATATTTAATGAATTTATGTATGTATACGTCTGTATTAATATATTTACATTTTATGATATATGGATAGAGTATCTTCTAAATATATATATATATATATATATATATATATATATATATATATATATATATATAATAAAGTTGGATATAATGACTTCGCTTATAGTGACTTGTCGCTTATTGTGACCTATTTTTACTAAATTGTGTCCGGTTATAGTTACCGACATAAATCCCAACACCTTCGGCAGTGTTCAGGAGAGTCTATTGATACCCGACGACGTTCGGCGCGTGCATAGCTTTTTTTTTGTTTTGAGTCTCAGTGGGTAATTGATTGTTGAAGGTCACGGGATTGTTTGTTAGTTATTTGTGAAAAAAATGAAATCTCAATGTGGAGAATCCAACTCATCTCTCGCAAGCGAATTTGGGATTGATCACTCGACAATCTCAATGATTATTAAAAACAAGAACTTATTATTCAGAATTTAAGTTACTTTAATTAAAGATTTTTCTCTATTAATATAAATACATACTAACAAAAACTGGAGATTGTTTTTTTCTATAACATGCTTATTATGACGTGTTTGTTATTTCCCTTCACAGATTACTGTATACCAGTCTATTCGAAGTCATTATAAACGGATTCCACTGTGTATATATATATATATATTCTGGTGTATTAGAACTTCGTTACCTTTTTTTATCATTATAAGTTTACTTTTGCTGCACTACCTCCCATATGTTTATCTCTGGTTAGCCTAATGGTTGACTGGGAGAGAATGTCTTAAGGCATTAAAGTCCGCCATATGTACGATTTTTCTTTTGTGCATACAATTTTAAATAAATAAATATATTTTTGAAATATACATATATAATGTTTATATATAAAAATTACGTGTCACAATGTTTGTCCGCGATGAACTCCTAAATTAGTAAACTGATTTCAATGAAATTTTGCACACTGTGTGCAGTTTGGCCCAACTTGAGAGATAGGATAGTTTTTATCCCGATAAGTGACCTTCAATATTTTTATTACGAATTTAAGATATATATATATATATCTTAAATTCGTAATAAATAATATATATATATTGCTGATTTTTGTGCGTATAGTGGCGGCGTAAAAGAATATACTACTTCATATGATCCCGTGGGTGTCGTAAGAGGGGAAAGAGGAAAATAAAAAAGATTATCCCCCCATCTCATCATCAGCGCCTTCCTAATAACAACTAAAGTTATAAAATACGGTTACCAACGCGCCCGCCGAGCGTTTCAATAAGCAAATATGTGTGATGCTGACTATGAGGCAATTTATGGGAAATGTCTATGTCTTTTTTAATATAAAAGGGGGCAAGCGAGCATGCGCCTCATGAGGGTGACTGCGGGAACTCCAGATGCGTTGGTGGTTTTAAAAAAAAAAAGAGTGAGTTGTTTTCTTGAATGGCTTTTTATAGGCTGTAATAATGACGATTATTGATTTAAAGTGAGACCATAAGAAAATATCACTGATATGTTAGAGGATAGTTTCAAAAATAAGATACATATCTCAACTTTACTGCAACTGTATTACCGTTTTTTACATAACACCATGCATTGGAAATTTCAGAAACCTGTCCGTTGGCAAAGCATCCTAGTATAGAGTACCAGTGCACCGAAGAAGGTACCGAAAGGCCCAGGGAATGCAACGACGAGGAGATCGACGGGACAATCATCAAGCCACTCTGCAAACAGCCCAATTATTATTCCCCAGTGGAATTGCCTTACATGCAATGTAATCAAGGAAGCTGGAGCTCTGGACCTATTTGCGCGGCAGGTGGTTACATACATATTTTTTATATACGTGGTAGAGCCACGCTGCAGCTATTTTGGTTGTAGCTTAAATGGTTCGCCTCGACCCTGGGGTAGGACCACGCTCTCACAGAATACCAGCGTAAAGTAGCAGTTTAATGCTGCTATGTTTCGTATGGTGAGTGTAGAGAACCGGAGACTCTTTATACTGGAAACGAGGCATTCCATCTTAGTTCTCAAGGGTGACAACGCATCTGCATTTTGATTCTTAATCGAGGATAAATGTATGTCTATGGGCCACAGCATCTTCTTATTATCTGGTGAACTATGTGCTCGTTTGTCACCCATATCCTATAAATAAAAAATATGAAATTGAAGTGACAAATAAACTTCCAATCCACTTGACGGTATGTTGCTACTGCAACCCATGGACATCTGTAACCAACTGTAAGCCTCATGTGTCTCACAGTCTGCAATTACGTGTTTTACCTGGTAGAGCCATGCTGCAGCTATATTAGTAGTATAGTTGTAGCACGAATGGTTCGGTTCCACCGGGGAAGGACCACGCTCCCACAGAATACCAGCGTAAAATAGCAGGAGGACTCTACTGCCTCCGCCCATCTATGAGTCAGGTATACCAGAAGAGCACCAGCTGATCAACCCGGACGAAAACCGTATTGGCGGTCACTAATCAGCTGGTGCTTCTCAAGGTACCGCATGAGCTGGCAGTTAATAATGGACTCCATTATTTTCCAGAACAAGGAGGTGATGGCGATAGGCCCGTAGATGGGCGGATCAGATTGGTTACCTTTTTTAGGGATCGGTTGCACGAAAGCTGTCTTCCATGAATTCGGGACAACACATAAGGAGTAAGAGTACCGGAATTGACGCGTTAGAACCGGTGCCAACTCTGGAGCACTCGTTCTCAGCACAATTGGTGGGATTCTGTCAAGCCCACTCGACTTGTGGATGTCCAGGGAGAGGAGTGGTGCATTGTGTCAATTGCACATCAGGCATAGAGCATTCATACTACGTGATGGTCGGCGGTGTGTTCCCCCCGAGAGACCAGAATGCACGGGTTCCCGAAGGAAGGTGAACTAATTTCTCGCCAATTCTGCCAATGTGCGTATACTTTGCCCTGGCAATAATTCTTTTGGAGGACCTGGAGGCGAAATTATACTTCTTTTTAAGCATGCTAGTGTTTGTATCCCGAGCCTGCCAAAGCCTCAGCCCAGGTCTGATAACACTCCTACTTACTGCGTAATGTAGTCTTATAGGAGCAACCAAACCAAGGCTGAGGTCTGCCTCCGTGCCTCCGATGGGTACCACAGATGATGTAATAGATAGTTCCATTCCCTGTAGCACCACATCAGTGACAGAGTCAGCAACAGCGCTGGGATCGTCCGGCAAAAAGTAAGCCCGCTCCCATGAGTAGGATGCAGAGAAAGAGCGTGTTCCGTCCCAATCCGCTGACCTGTAATGCCAAACACGGCGGCAGCCTGCAGAACGCATATGCAACGTCTCTGATGTATGCGCAAACTCCAGCCCGGGGCACAAAGAAGTGTTCTAATTTGTACCCCGTGTAGGACAGGTACAAAGTATCACCCGGAGAAGACACCTGCGTCTCGGTCAAAAAGAGCAAGGCCGGCTTCGGCGTCTCTAGATGGTAGTAGATGGCGTTAAGGTTCGAGTGAAGTCCCCTGGTGTTGCAGAAGTTCACCCACGCACAGGAAGAAGAAGGTAGCTTGACCGTGGATGTTCAGTGAGGGATTCTCCATTAACAGGGGTGCTAGTACCCTCCTGGGGTAGTCTTTTCTTTTTGTATTCCGCTACCATGTTATGGGGAGGCGGATACGGCCACCTGCACTAACCAAGCGAAACACAGAAGCAAAGCTTCTACCTTACGTTGGTATCCTGTGAGTTCGAGGTACTGCCCCCGTTCGAGCAGACCCATTCATGCTACAGCCGAAGCTGCAGAGTGGCTCTACCACTGTTAAATCCTGACACATCTTTCTCTTCTTCTTCCATTTGGCACGATCCTGATACACTTTTCTCTTTTTCTTCGATTTGGCATGATCCTGACAATTTATAGCCAATTAGGTCGATTAACTTCCATCTAGTGCCTTCTTTGCCTTACCTGAGAAGGAGAATGGGAAAGAAAAGTCCTCCCCGAGGAGGGACTATCGTGGAGCGGCCGGCGCCGGTGGGGCCCGCGGATGTATGCGAAATCGTTCCCGTGGCCCTGCCAATATACGAAAAAGGTGGAACACCATTGGGTTTTAGTCGTTATAAGTCCGACATAGCTCGTTCTTGCCTGAGCGAGGCGGGTATACGTAGGCATTTCCCCATGTAAAAGGGCCTTCTTTGTCTCTGTCACTCACGTCTGCGGCATAAATTTGCTTTGTCACTCTTTTTGACTTACGAAATTGATCATCAAAACTTACCGAAATCAATTAACAATAAACGAGTCAAACAATAAAATTAAACTTAACATCGGTCCTAAAAGTGTACCTTGGGGCGAACTAAGAGGGAAACTAAGAGGACAGTCCTAATAAAAAAAATCTTCTAACTTTGCAGAATGCGGCACGCTAACGGTAAAACTTACACCTCTTGTGCTGGGAGGGGAGACAGCAAATTTTGGTGATGTACCATGGCATGTCGGTATATACAACAAGAATTCAACCACGGGAGTACACGAGCAAATCTGTGGTGGTTCGTTGATCAGCAACTTTGTCATATTAACAGGTATTGTACTTAATACCGACTTTATTACAGACTTACTTAATACCGAACTTCGCTTTACCGACGCCTTTAGTTAGTGTTCTACGCAAAAATTTGTCAGCACCTCGTTGTCTGTTCGTCTGTTACAAACATTCATCTCAGAGAGTTGACAGTAATGTGTATTGTGCCGATTCTTATCTTTTTTTTATCGGGTCCAAATTTTTGGCACTGAACCAAAATACATGCACCATATTGCGAACTTGAGTCAATTTGGTCTACATATATAGAATTTGTTAATAACTTAAATAGTTCAACTTGGAGAGCCGTGGTACAGGAGCTAAGCGCTCGCTGTGAATTTCACAGTATTCTGGTTCGATCCCCGCCGGTACCAATGAAATTGTTAATTGCAATTTTAAGTGCTGATTTACCACGTGCTCTGCGGTGAAGGAAAACATCGTGAGGAAAAATGCGTGTATGAGAAATAAGAAAAAAAAATTGCTAAGACATGTGAAGTTCGCCAACACGTATTGGGGCAGCGATATTTCCTTTTTCTCAGAAATGGGAGGAGGCCTGTGCCCAGAAGTGGGATGTATACGTATATGCTGAAACTTTTTAACTTTTAATAACTTGACTAAAGTCACACATGCCGGATCCTAGCAATAGCTTTTTTTTTATAGGATAAGGGTGACAAACGAGCACACAGTCCACCTGATGGTAAGTGTTTGCTGTGGCCCATAGACATATACATCTATCCTCTGTTGCGAATCAAAATGCATATCCTTCGTCGTGCGACGCGCTGTGAATGGTCAATTTTTCCTTATACAATAAAAGTTGTTTATATTAACTATTGTCAAAACGACATTCTATACAAATATATTAAGAGTTATGAACATGCTGTAAAAGTATATTAATACATTATTCACTCGATTTTGTCGGTAATTTTACTTTTAATATTGTCTTTAATCACTTCGATTTTAAACAGTATTTGGCCGTCGCGATCAATTTTATATTTGTGCCATGCTGTAGATTCTATCGGTCCGTGGGATCAACGCACAGAACTGGTCCTTTTCTCTTTTTTCGTGCATATACTATGTAAAGACATTAAGCTAGGACACGCAACCGTTTTGGAAAACGTTCTTGGCAATAGTGCCAAGAACGCTTTCAAAAAGGGTTACCTTTTGACCACTACCACACTACCACCGCGGTATAGACGGCGGACCGTTTGATAATTTTAGTTTTTGGTTTCTTCTATTGTAATTAATATTGTAGATTATTATTTTATCATATTAATTTATAATATCATCGAACAGCTGCCCATTGCTTTTGGAACGAACACAAAAAAAAGATTGAGGACGAATCTAACTACGCAGTGGCTGTTGGAAAGTTTTATCGGGAATGGTATAATCCCAAAGATGAACCCTACGCGCAAAAATCAAATGTAAGTAATCAGACATGACCTACAGACCCTCAACAAAAGAGTCTAATATTTCTTCGATTGCCAGAAACGCATCTGCAATTGTTCATGGGTAGTGTGGTAGTGGTCATTAACCTACCATTAGGTGAGCTATATATATTTTTTTAAAGAATACGGGGGTGACAAACAAGCTAACAGTCCACCTGATAGTAAGTGATTGATGTGGCCCATAGACATCTACATTTAATCCTCGATTAAGAATCAAAATGCAGATGCGTTGTTACCCCTGAGGACTAAGATAGAATACCTCGTGTCCAGTAAACAGAGTCCCTGGTTTTCTACACTCACCATACGAAACACAGTAGCATTAAGCTGCTATTTTACGCGGGTATTCTGTGACCGCGTGATCCTACCCCGGTTGAGCCGACCCATTCGTGCAACAACTATAATATAGCTGCAGCGTGGCTTTACCACGTAAAAATTAGCTCGTTTCTTCATCATTACAGCTTTCAAAATTCCACTGCTGAACATAGACCGCAATGAACACATTAATAAACGTTCTGTGCAAACGTGGTTCTTCCGCTTCGAGTTGACAAATTCGTGCTGCAGGCATACTACGCTACAGTTTGACTCCATGTATATAATCGAATTTACTGTTGCCAGCGTTTTATCAACAGCGATATGGCGGTAGATAGAACTTTTTAAAGGTAAGAGCCTACTCCTTTACCAAATACCGTCGCCGCAAATGGAATTTCTCTAGTATTGCAGATGTTAATGGGTGGTCGCTGATCACTTCGAGTGATGGAAGCACCAAAATTTATTACCCCTATTTACAGTCACTAAAAGACCATTATAAGTGATAACAGGTGATTGTGAGATATTCAATATATATTTTTTATATTTTTAAAGATATCAAAAATTGTGGTACCGAAGCTGTTTCGCGGTATAGAACTGGACTACCATCACGACATCGCGGTAGTGATAGTCTCGACACCATTCATATATAAGTGGTACGTTCGACCGGTTTGCTTGGACTTCAACGAGGATTTCAACAACGATCAACTGAAGAGCGGGAAATTCGGGAAGGTACTCCTAACTGTCTTTTTTATACTACCTAAAGAGTTCAGTTTTGACTGTCTCGTTGGTCTAGTGATCGGTAGTGCGACTGCTGAGCATGAAGTTCCAGGATCAAATTCTGGAGTCAAATCAGATAATGGGGTTTTATGTAAAGAAACTCCCAGCAGCAGCAGAGTCAGGGACGTTTTACGTGGTAGAGCCATGCTGCAGCTATATTACTAGCTCGACCGGGGAAGGACCACGCTCTCACAGTATACCAGCGTAAAATAGCAGCTTAACACTTCTGTGTTTCGTATGGTGAGTGTAGAGAACCGGAGTGCAGAGAAGCCTTTTTACTAGAAACGAGGCATAACATCTCAGTTCTCACGGGTGACAACGCATCTGCATTTTGATTCGTAATCGAGGATAGATGTAGATGTCTATGGGCCACAGCAACCACTTACCATCAGGTGGACTGTGTGCTCGTTTGTTACCCTTATCATATAAAAAAATTTGGTAGTGTTTCACCTCTGTGCTTCGGTAACCATGTATAACTGTTGGCCCTACCCAACTTTTTCACCCCATATAATTCTCAGAGTGAGAGACTATAGTCCTTTTCTGTCTAGTCTTCGTTTAGACTGGCCGCCGTGACCGAAAATTGATCTGGAAGACGTTATTCTACCAGTTCAGAGCTGGAAACAAGCCTCTTCTAGTGTAGGAAGTATTTGTCCCAATCACCACGCTAATATAATTTCGACTATCTTTCTAGGCGGCTGGTTGGGGTCTCACTACCGAGTATAGATGGTCACAGTCCCAAGAACTGAAAGTAATAGACCTGCCATACGAGGACGAAGAGAGATGCCTGAACGTGACTTCGCGACCGTTGCTTCAGTACGTGGTATACGACAAGATCTGCGCCGGGACGTTAGAGGGTATTTTGAATTCTTATTATTTACTTATTAACTTACTAACTGTTCCCTGCGACTTCATTCGCTTGAAATTTATTATGATTGGATTTTATGAGTTTTGCTTTTTTTTGGGCGGGAACCCTAATTCTTTTTCTAAAATAAAAGTAGCTTAAGTTAGTTCTTATAACATCAGCTATCTGCCAGGGAAAGTTCCTTCAAAATTGGTTTAGACATTTCGGAGAACACACAAATAGACAGACAAATTTTTGTTGTAATAATTACCGAATATACTTTCATATGAATTTAGTAAATATCCGTTATATTGGCATTACAAATAGACACTTCAATTTTATTTATTTGTATATATTTATTTTGCAATCCCCGTTATAACCAATGAAGTTGTTAGTTGCAAGTTTTAAGTGCTTATTTACTTCATGGTCGGTGCTGAAGGAAAACACATACTGCATGTCGAACGGATAAAATATTACGGGGATAATATGCGAAGTATCTAACAAAAGACGAACTCACACTGAAGCAGCGGAACAAACTAATTGCTCTAACTATAGCGCTTTCAGAAATGAGCAGAGTTTTTTATATATATTGATGGTCAACGCTGCGGGCTCACGTCGTGCCGCTGGATTTGCATACCGCACGAGAGAACCGTTTGTATGGGTTACCAATAATGGTTCCAGGTCTGAATGTTTATCCATGTACAACTCATGGTACATAACATTTAAAACAGTGCCATGATACCGCAGAAAAAGTTAGCTCACTTTAAAGTTATTTTTAAGTATACGTGGACAATACTGACAGTACCGGCGAATAGTAGAATAATAGAATACGTGGTAGAGTCATGCTACAGCTATATTAATAGTTATAGCGCGAATGGGTCGGCTCGACCGGGGAAGGACCACGCTCTCACAGAATATCGGCGTAAAATAGCAGCTTAATGCTGCTATGTTTCGTTTGGTGAGTGTAGAGAACAGGAGACCTTTTTTACTGGAAAAGAGGTATTCCATATTAGTCCTTACAGCTGACAACGCATCTGCTTTTATTCGCTAATGAGGATAGATGTAGATGTCTGTGGGCCACAGCAACCACTTACCATGAGTGGACTGTGGGTTCGCTTCTCACCCTTATCCTATAAAAAAAACGAATGACAATACTAGCATCGAATCTACTTTCATTAAGCCAACTATTTACCAATTACACCAAAGCTTGCTTGACGTTTTCAAAGTTATATAAAAAAAGTTCGTATTTTTTTAATAATCCTGAACTAAGAAACAACCTTACAGCCTACCTGAATAGTAAGTGACTATTGAAGCCCATTGACAATTACAACCTATTAAAAAAAACCGGCCATGTGCGAGTCGGACTCGCGCACCGAGGGTTCCGAACAAATCCGTACGTATATAAGTTTAAAATTATTAAAAATATTTTTATTATATGATGTAACCAAAAATGTATACTTTTCGCAATGTTTCCTTTATCTGTGCTATAAAACGTTGCTTCGTACCAAATTTCAAGATTCTGAGTTCACGGGAAGTACCCTGTAGGTTTTGATTCCCTTGCGAATGTCGAAAATTTGCGGCATAAACGGCTGTATCTTTTGATTGCGTTGGCTTCGAAGTTTGATTTTTTCACAGCTCTAAGGGACAGTAGACTTGAGTATTTGTTATGAATTTCAGCTTGATACCTCTACGCGTTCCTAAGAAAAAGGGTCTTGACAGACAGACAGACAGACGGACAACAAAGTGATCCTATAAGGGTTCCGTTTTTTCCTTTTGAGGTACGGAACCCTAAAAAAGAAGGCTTTAACGCATTGTCTACAGTGGTAGAGCCACGCGGCAGCTTTTGCTGTCGCACGGATGGGCCGGCTCGAACCGGGGTAGTACCACAACCTCACAGAAAACCAGCGTGAAGTAGAGGTTTACCTCTGCGTTTCGCTTGGTGAGTGCAGGTGAAACCGTTTTTACTGGAAATGAGGCATTCCATCTTAGTCCTCACGGATGACAACGCATCTACATTTTGATTTGTAACAGAGGATAGATGTAGATGTCTATGGGCCGCAGCAACCACTTACCATCAGGTGGACTGTGTGGTCGTTTGTCACCCTTATCCTATAAAAAAAATTGTCGCCACTGATGACAAAGACGGAATACCTTACAGCTTGTAATAATCCGTAGCTGTAGAAATTCTCTGAAAGACTTCTAGACTAGAAAAAATTTCTAACACCTAGTAATAGACCATGCTCATAAGAATATTGGTCACTGACTTGACACTGGCAGAATACTATTAAGAGAAGCCATAATTTAAAAGAAGAAGAATATTGGTTGCCAGTTCTTCGTACCATATGGCATCCCATTGCCACTTCAGCATACTAACCAGTTGGCTGTATCAGTTTTTATTTATTTAAAATAAGCCAGTACTTGATTATAATTCAACATGGTGGTAAGTGGTGAAGCCATAAATAGTGTACCGCACTGTCCTAGCGTAACAAAGGCTCATATAGGTAAATAAAGTGTGTCGCACTGTCCTAACGTAACAAAAAACTATTGAGATAAATTGTGTCGCAATGTCCTAGCGTAACAAAATCCTATCCAGATAATTAATAGAATCAGGCGTTTCTTTGCTGAAATTCATTATATTAAAGATGATTTTTCACGCGGAACTTAGTTAATCAATTTTAACATTTTTGAAAGCTTCTATTTAGTAATCACTCTTGAATGCACTAAAATTGTTCATTCACTACAACCCATCACAAGGCCATTACCGAACATGGGACTCCCTCATAGAGGGAATTTAAAATAATTTTACGGATTTTATCGCGTATATTAACTTATTTTATATTCCCGACGTTTCGAGCACTTTCCAGCACCCATGGTCACGGGGGGACGACTGAGATGTATGATGTCCCAATGCGATAGTTAAGCACGGCTACCTCCAGATTAAAGATTATTAATTTTTGTTCATACTGCGTAGATCGGAACTGGGGAATATAAAATAAGTTAATAAACGCGATAAAATCGTTCGCGAAAAAGCGTGTAGTGTTCGTGTAAATATAAGAAATCATTATAGTTACCACACTTGGCAGGGTTGGCAACCGCAGTTTTTGTGTATCGCCTTCATATCGCCTCTTAAACGCCCACGAGATTTGATTTTCTTGTCCAGCCACTACGTGGCAACTCCTAATGTAATCGGATGGAAAGACAGAAATAACTCTTGTTTTAAAACGAATATCATCAGAGGGTTAAGTTATATAATGCAACACACAATGACATTACAGGTGAAGCTCTATGCAGAGGTGACAGCGGTGGCGGGCTGGCTTTCCCCTCGGAAATATCCGGGGTGGAGAGATATTATCTACGAGGGATCGCTTCCACAACCCCCTTGCTGCGTAACGACATGTCGTGTAACGTCAACTCTTTGACTAGTTTCACCTCTGTTATAAAGTACAAGGAGTTTATAAAGCGATATTGGTACCCATAACTTATAGCAGTTTTAATGGTCTTCTAGATTGTGCGCCAATGGGGCTAATAATTTTCCGCTTAACAGATGTCGCTAGTTGACTCTGAGTATAGTTTTTTGTTACACAATGTCATTTTATTGAGAAGTTAGTTTTAAATAAATGAATTTATGACCTTCTACAGTAATAAATTAGTACTCAAAACTATGCCTCAGTGGTTTGTTCTTTAATTTATTGCACATTTTAACTCTTTTTTTATTAATTTTTTAGATTTATGAATATCTGTACTGTTTGGTTTATCTATTTTAATGTAATTAATATAAATTACAACTAGTAGTAAAAAAAAATTAATCTACTTACATTATATATACGTTACATTTACCGAAGAAATTAACTTCTGCGCTATGAAATCTGTCAGATATTATACTGCACATTTAAGTGACGCCGCCCTGGTGGCAAAAAAAGTTGTGGATGCCCGTGATGGTGGATCATTAGAGCTAACAGAGGTACTTTGATAGCGATAGGTACAAACTACTAACCGCTATGTACTGAAATGTGTTGAGTTCTTTTGCAACAAAGTGGCGACGTCAAATATGTATTTATTAAAGCATCACTTTTTGTCAAAGATTTGATACCTAAGATTTAATACCTACCTAAGTATATTGGCCCAATACCATGATTGGTAACCCAATATTATTGGGTTATTAACCTTAAATTAAAATGATTAAAAAAGTTTGTTTAATTATAATTAATTAGACCGATTTTTTAATAATATTAATACATTGCTGTAATATAAATAAACACGTGTATGAAAAATGTATTTGCTTAATTTTATTTCAGTAAAAATTATTTACTACCGGCTGTACACGTATGCACTCTTTTTACCTAGACTCGTTCAGCACATCTCTAGTGGAAACGGCTCAGCGGAGCGAGGTTTTTGTACGTTTAAAACAAGGGAAAGATGTGTGCGACTGATGTATTGCGAGGGATGTGTTGCGAGGGATGTGTTGCGAGGGATGTGTTGCGAGGGATGTGTTGCGAGGGATGTGTGCGAGGGCTCCGCTCCCATCACAACTCACCCCGCTCGCATCTGAAACGAGCCCGTTACACATCCTCGCACTGCTCATCTGTGCACCGTTTCACAGAGTCGCTACGCACTCGCACCGCTCAGCGACCAAGCACATCTCTGGTGGAAACGCTCACACCGTTACACAGCCTCGCTACGCATCCCCACACCGCCCGGCTACCTTGCACATCTCTGGTGGAAACGCAGACTTACTCTAGATCTAGCCAGTATTTTAAAGACTTTCCTACATATACAATATTAAAAAAAAAACAATAAAAAAAACCAAAATGTAACTTATCCTACCGGACTGTGTGATAATATCGCAATAAAAATGGTATCGCCCACGTGTAATCTTCATTTAATTAAAAAGGTTTTTTGAAAGAAATACTATGATACGTATGTCATCATTACCATCACCATCAGCAACATGATGATAACGATGATCACGATTTAAAGTAATGTTGCGTAAATTGATACTTAGAGCATTAATTAAAATATTATTAAACTGATAACATGTTATTGTTTTTAAATCACTTAATAATTAATATTTAATTCATATCTTTCGTTTTAAGCTAGGTTTGTGAACAGTCGTGTTGCTAGCGTACTTAGTTGTATTTTTTGTACGTACATTTTCCCTTTAAAAGTATTTTATGTGGACACAGAAGACTCATTCAAGAATGCGGGATGTATTTCTATTGTATTTTGGTTAGTTTTTTTACAACGATTTTTTCTACGTATTTATTATGATTTCTTCATTTTATTCAATAACTCAAATCAATGCCTTTTCATATAATACACAATATAAGGAGTGGTAATTTCATTATCGTTACCGTAACTGCCTATTAAAGTCCACTGCTGAACATAGGTCTCCCCCACATATAGTCCCATATATTTGTTATAGTTGCCACGCTTGGCCTATAACCCCATCCTGGGCTATCTCCTGATTTGTTTCCCTCTGTCCCCTCTTACACCGTGGATATTCCTATACCGCCACTTTACGGTAAGTTAATAACATAAAAAAGTGTAATGTGACATCTCTACTTATATAATATAATAAACCTAGCAAGCTAACAGCATAGCAAAGTGGCGAAGCAATCAGCTTTGTAGCGGTTTCTAACGGTTGCCGTTGAGCAATCAGTTTCAAAATAGGAGGTTCAGATGCCTGGGTGATCAGTAATCGATTGCTGAAAACAGAATTTGAAAATTCAAAACCGTTCTCGAGATAATCGTGGGACAGACGGACAGACGGACAGACATCGTGAAATCAATAAGTGACTTCGCAAGCTTCGCCACTTAATAAAGCGGAAGAGTTTTTTTGTTTGTTTAAACGCGCTAATCTCTGGAACTACCAGTCCGATTTGAAAAATTATTTTTGTATATTATAAGCCTGATTCATGTGGAATAGTATAGGCTATCTAGAATTAAGCTATATCACTCAGCTAGCCTTAAATATGGATATTTGTTAAGCAAGTCAGAAGAAAAAGCACTCCCGAAATGATTTATCTGCGTACGCTGGTGTTATCGTTAGAGATACGTAAATACAATGTTCTAGAAAAATATAGACCTTTACTCCGTCTATACCATATGTCTTTTTCTTATACATAAGCCATAATTAGGTATTTTGTGACAAAAAAATATTGAAAAATTAAAAGTGATTTATGAGCGTTATTATTAGGCATGGCCTATTTATCCTTACGAACGAAAGTTACTTCATCATCAAGATAATTTTATGACGATAAACTTTGTTCTTTATACCATGTTACTTGGACGCATAGTTTAAGAGATAATGTAAAATTAAAATAATTCAATACTTGGCTGGGCGCGAGAACGATACATAAACCCTAGCCGCCCGGTGAGAACTGCGAGAACTGCTCAACCGGGAGGGGGAGGGAAAGTGAATAAAACTTAACTTCGCTCTACATCTTACATAATATGCCGACAGATAAAAGTACTCCATTAATTATACCAATTTTTCCATCTATTGCTATCAAATAAAATATTTAATTGCAATTATAAAATGCTTGAACTAGGTCATTTCGCGCACCTCCGACACGTGATGACGTGGGTGAAACCGCGGGGCACAGCTAGTCCTATATATGCCTCCTAGCCGGGCACAGGCTTACTTTCATTTCTCAGTGCGTTCAATTTGTAATATTGTTGTCGGACTTCACTGTAATATGACTCCTATCCTGCCCAGGAGCCTGTCTGGGCAGATACCACTCGCTTACATATTTATGCCACCAAGCAGCAGTGCCTGAACTGCTGTGTTTTAGTTCAAAGGGTATGAGAGACAGTATAATACAGGCTCCGAGACGTTCCATCTTAGTCATCAGAGGTGACAACACTTCTCTAGCTTGCTTCGTTTGAAGTTGACTGCAGGTGTCTAAGGACTGCAGTAGTAGCATACCATCAGACCTCAAGTTTGTTTGTCTTTTCCATTTTATAAAAAAGCACGAGTCAATAAATTCTATATACCTACTTAATATTATAAAGAGGTAAAGTTTGTAAGTTTGTGAGTTAGTTTGTAGGAAGTAATATATGGAACTATCGAACCGATTTTAAAAATTCCTTCACCAGTCTAAAGCTACATCATTTCTGAGTGATATGGGCTATATTTTATTGTGATTAATAATATTTTTTAAATTGAATAGACAATATTTGTCAATCAATTCCGAAATCAAATCCTAAACACTCAGTACTAAGAACCACACACGATAATTTCATCACAAGTAAAAATATTTGACGCCCAGCATAGTGGGCACAGGTCAGCTAGTGACCAATAAAGTGTTAGAGCCATGTTGCAGCCATTAGTTGTAGCACGAATGGGTCGGCTCGGCCGTAGGACTACGCTCTCACGGAATACCAGCGTAAAATAGCAGCTTAATGCTGCTGTGTAGAGAACCGGAGACATTTTTTACTGGAAACGAGTCATAACAGTACATAGGAGTGACGGCACATTTACTAGTACATAAATGTAGATATCTATAGGCTAAAGCATCCACTTGCCATCAAGTGTACTGTGTGCTCGTTTGTCAAAGATAAAGAGTTCATGATGCCAATCTACATTACCAATACCATTTTACCATTACAGCTTATAAAAAGGTCCCTGTGAACATAGGTCTCTTCCATAGATGGAATACGAGTGCAATCAATCACTTCAACTTCAACAATATAGTCATAGTTAGCATTATTTAATAAGTAAGTTTTTATGTGGTAGAGCCATGCTGCAGCTATATTAATAGTATAGTTGTAGCACGAATGGGCCGGCTCGACCGGGGAAGGACCACGCTCTCACAGAATACCAGCGTAAAATAGCAGCTTAATACTGCTGTGTTTCGTATGGTGAGTGTAGAGAACCGGAGACTGTTTTTACTGGAAACGAGGCATTCAATCTAAGTCCTCACGGGTGACAATGGATCTGCATTGTGATTCCTTACTGAGGATAGATGTAGATGTCTATGGGCCACAGCAACCACTTACCATCAGGCGGACTGTGTTCTCGTTTGTCACCCAATCCTATAAAAAAAAGTAAATCGATAAAGATGCTGCTGCTCATTTCTTGTTCTTTTTTCTGCCGACTTCCAAAAAGGAGACGGTACTCAATTCGACTGTATGTTTTTTTTATGTGTGTTACTTCATAACTTTTTACTGGGTGAACCGATTTCGATGATTCTTTTTTTATTTGAAAGCTGGTACTTTTCGTGTGGTCCCATATGAATATGATCAAGGTCAGACCAATAGTTTTTGAGTTATTCTTAATAACTTATATTGAAGTCGGCTGTACAAAATTTTTAATTTTAAATAATTTAAGATACATTTTATATCTATGTATATGTTTATGTGTTGGTTTAGTTCACTCTGGTTTTGACGTTTCTGGATTGTACAGTAGGATTCATTGTAATGGTTGTTATCGCTGTCCTGGTCACCGTCATTATGGTAATCGTCTTCATTGTCATCATCATGTTATCAGTTTTCACGATAACTTGACAGTTGACAGACAATTACCAACTGAAGTTGTCGCTTTTAGGTTTCGATGTGAGCGCGCATCGGAACAACTTCATGGTGTCGTTTTTAGGTGTCGGTGTGCGCGCGCATCGTAACAACTTCATGGTGTCGTTTTTAGGTGTCGGTGTGCGCGCGCATCGGAACAACTTCATGGTGTCGTTTTTAGGTGTCGGTGTGCGCGCGCATCAAAAAAAAATCACTCTCATCATTTTTCTCAAACGCGCCAAAAGAAGTATAACTTCAAAAAACTTAATAATATAACTAAAACTATTAAAATAATATAACTAAATCATTCAGTCCAAGAAATGTAAATTAAATGTTAATTACAAGTTTCTAAATTACATTTTTTTATTATGTTAAAAGTTGCTCAGTTATCAGTTTCTTGATGGATGTTTAATGACACCCTCATTTGATCACAACTTAGTGATCAAATGAGGGCAGAATTACCGTGTAGTTTGGTGGTGAGCATACCTAGTTATGTTAAGTTTTTTTTCTTCTTTTAAACCGTAATGCCAAATAAATTTACGGTCTACCTGGTAATAAGTGACTGCTGTAGTCAAACAAAAACTCACAGAGTCAATAAATACACTAAACTTGGAGCTAATATGGACGCATCGATTGAATGACAACTAAAATAGAATTTTTACGTTATAGATCCATGCTGCAGCTATATTAGTATTGTAGTTGTAGCACAAATGGGTCGGCTCGACCGGGGAAGGACCGCGCTCTCACAGAATACGATAACGCTGCTGTGTTTCGTATGCTGAGTGTAGAGAACCGGAGACCCTTTTTACTGGAAACGAGGCATTCGATCTTAGTCCTCACAACAAAATAAATATAGATGTCTATGCTCCCCAGTATCCACTTACCATCGAGTGGTCTGTGTGTTCGCTTGTCACCCTTATCTATAAAAAAATAATAATGGACAAATCGCGGTTGAATGACAATGAAACTAAAAGTAATCTACGGAGAGACCTATGTTCACCAGTGGACTTTTGAAATGCTGTAATTTATGTAAAAAATAGATTTTTAGTGACGGTATACTTTTGTATAGCAAAAGCAGGTTTTTTTAAAAATATAATGCTATCCAAAAATTTAGTTTCTGTACTAATGGTAGATATTATTACGTGTTTGCCTGTTAAGAGTATGAAATGCAAATAGTAATCTTTCTTTCGCACAGACACACACGTACACGCATGCACAACATTATACTGCTATTATACGCTGGTCATAGAATTATTACGTATGGTATTCTATGCGTGTGTAGTCCTTTCACGGTTCATTAGAACGAGAAAGGTGTTTTTTATATGATGTGAAGAATGATGATTATAAAAACCGAGGAACAGTATAAGAAGAATGGTTAAAAATTACCAGAGAAATAGGGACCAAAAAAGAAATATAATAACTTTATCCTAGTATCCTGATCAGGATCACCAGGATATAAAATAATTTTATTATGATCATTGAAAATTTGCACTCGTATCAAGGACCGATGACAACACAATAATTAAATAACTTTATCCTAGTATCCTGATCAGGATCACAAGGATATAAAATAATTTTATTATGATCATTGAAAATTTGCACTCGTATCAAGGACCGATCACAATACAATAATTAAATAACTTTATCCTAGTATCCTGATCAGGATCACCAGGATATAAAATAATTTTATTATGATCATTGAAAATTTGCACTCGTATCAAGGACCGATCACAATACAATAATTAAATAACTTTATCCTAGAATCCTGATCAGGATCACCAGGATATAAAATAATTTTATTATGATCATCACAGACATGATCAATCAATACATGTTAAGTTTTTTCAAGCTCTTATATTATTATTATATTAAACAACTGTCTTGATTTCAGTTTCAGTATTGCTAGTAGCCGTCATTGCGGCTAAAGATGATGTGTCTACCGTTAGGTAAGTCATAAATTAACACCGTGATAAGGTAAGAAGCCAGAGCCAGGGATATGGAACCGTGACAACGATACCTTAAAACTCATACTGCGGGAGCGAAATGATTTCGATTCACACTCACCGTCACCTATGAAATAAGAAGTGGACTCTTAACTTTTTTATACATGTTTATTTTTCAAAGAGTAGTCAATTTACAAACTTAAGTGCAAATATATAAATAATGATATATCGTTACTGCGGTTTTGTAATTACGAGTAACTTCTACTTTTATTTGAAATTATCTCAAATTGAATGTGATTTATGGTCAACAACGACGTTTTTGCCTGTCGATCGACCCTTACAAATATGTGCGTGCGCAGTAAAATGAGTTAAAATAATGCATTACCACATTTTTAGAATTTAAAAGATAAAAAAGACAGAATGTTTGAATTTCTTTTTAATAAATTTTTCTTCACCATTTGCCTATATCACTAATTCTGAACATTCTGTATAGAATAAAGGTGATAAACGAGCACACAGTTCACCTGATGGTAAGTGGATGCTGTGGCCCAGAGACGATCTACGAGTATAGTATCCTCAATTAAGAATCAAAATGCAGATGCGTCGTCACCCCTGAGGAGTGAGATAGAATGCCTCCTTTCCAGTAGAAAGGTCTCCGGCTCTCTACACTCATCATACGAAACACAGCAGCATTATACTGCTATTTTACGCTGGTATTCTGCGAGAGTGTGGTCCTACCTCGGTCGAGTCGACCCATTCGTGCTGCAACCACAATATAGCAGCATTACTCTACCACGTAAAAGACTTAGTAAAACAAAAGCCTGTTCACTCTTGTTTTGAAGACATCCAGATTTTAAATGAACGGAAAGACAGACACCGGCAACCTATTCGAGTCCTTTTCTGTAGGTAGAATATCGACAGCAAGGAGTTAGGCACGCCAACCGTCTGGGGATTCATCATTTACCATCAGATGGGATAGTGGTCAAGTACTAGCTAATATTAGGTAAATTATATAATATATAATTTATTTGCTGTATTACAGGAATGCAGGTCATGGTACACTCATGGAATTAAATGGACGGAAGAGACAAGCGAAAATCTCTGTAAATGTTTGTTTGTAAGTTTCGTTGAACTTCCTATTATTAGTATTCCTATATTCCTAGGTGATAGACTCTTTACCTACCTAAGAGTATGTATGGAATGGTGTCACCCAGTGGAGTAGCATGGGTTGCTGCCGCAAAGTGTCGCTAGAGCCTAAATGCGCCCCTCATTCCCCCATATTCTTTTTTTTATAGGAGAGGGGGCAAACGAGCATGCGGCTCACCTGATGGTGAATAACTACCGCCGCCCATGAACAACTGCAACACCAGGGGAATCGCAGATGCGTTGCCGGCCTTTTAAAAAGGTGTAGGCTCTTTTCTTGAAGGCCCCTAAGTCGTATCGGTCCGGAAAAATCGCTGGTGGTAATTGATTCCACAAGGAAGTTGTGCGAGGGAGAAAACTTCTTCTAAATCGCACAGTGGTGGACCGCCAATCATTCAGATGATATGGATGGTATCGCGAGTTTTGTCGCAATGTGCGATGGTGAAATTGAGCGGCTGGAATTAGTCCGAACAATTCCTCAGAGCACTCCCCGTGGTAGATGCGATAAAATACGCAAAGAGATGCAACATCTCTACGCAGTGCCAGTGACTCAAGCCGATCGGAAAGAACTTGGTCGTCGACGATTCGAACCGCTCTGCGCTGGATGCGATCAAGTGGAAGGAGCTGGCACTGGGGAGCCCCTGCCCAGAGATGGGAACAGTATTCCATGTGAGGCCGAACCTGCGCCTTGTAAAGTTGCAAGCGGTGTGCCCGAATGAAATACTGTCCCGCCCTGCTGAGCACGCCAAGCTTTTTAGAGGCCAATTTGGCCTTCTTTTCCAAGTGACCACGAAACTGCACATCACTCGATATGTCGACGCCGAGGATTCCGATACTGGCTGAGGCAACAAGGGGAGTGCCTTGAAACTGAGGAGATACGACAAAGCGATTCTTTTTAGCGGTAAACGCGCAAACTTGTGTCTTCTGGGGATTGAGCTGGACTAGATTTAGTCGCCCCCAGTCTGAGACTTTGTATATTCCATATTCCCTCATATTCGCAAGAAATTTAAAAATGCTTGATTGCGTGGAACACTCGGTTGCGTAGTATATTATTATTGATAAAAGTATTATATTATATTATTGATTAACAAATACAAATAAATGAATTACTGGCGGCTATTAAACTGAAGCGTCATTTGAAATTAAATAATATTTCTTTTATGGCAAGATAAGAAAAAGTGCGAGGGAGATGGATATTATTCCATCTCACTTCCTTATGTCGCCGCCAAGGCCGTCTACACTATGACACTAGGGGTAGTGACCAAAAAATTTTACACTTTTTATCGCCTAGCTCCCATCTGCCAAACCCGTACTATCTCATAAAGAACTTCGTTCCAAAAATAATAAAGTATCGTATAAGCCTACTTTTTATATACTCCTGTATCACATCGTCCGGTGTCGTAAAAGACGACAGAGAGAAACTGAAACAGCAATGGGCAGGAGCATTTTCCTGATAACAACTCGAAATAATAAAAAAAAACTGCGGTTGCCAACCCGCTTGCCAACTGGGAACATGCTCCTATGGCGATCTAGGGATCTATGTTCAGCAGTGGAATTTGGATAAGCTGTACTGGATGATTTTTACAAAGCTAGGATTTTTTATTTTTTTAGGAAAGAACAATGGCAGTGTCGCGATGGATCCTGTATCAGCATCGATAGTATATGCGATGGCGTCGTCGATTGCCCGGACAGTAGTGACGAGACCCATGCACTTTGTAGGAAGATGCGGTAATGTATCTAATTCTAGAGTATAGAACAATTTTTATAAATTTCAACATTTTTTTTTAATATTTTAACTATTCTAAATAATCTATACTGCTTCTACTGTTAACTAAGTGTTACTAGAGTAGAATTGCAGTACAATACCGCAGTGTATCTAATGGGGAGTACAGAGAACCAGATACCCTTTTAACTGGTAACGAGCAATTCCATCATTAGATTCATTATTAGACCTCAGTGGTGACAACGTATCTTTATTTAAATTCTTAACCTATAATATAAAAATGAATCGCTAAATGAGCTGCTAAGCGCAAATCTCGGGAGCAGCTGAACCGATTTCGTTAATTCTTTTTTTATACTTAATATTCCTTGAAGTACGAACATGGTTCTTACGGAGAGAGAAAATTTAAAAGTTACCTGAAAAAGTCTAAAAGCACTTTTCTATATTCCCATACAAAAGATTCGTAATAATACTTAAAAGTCAATTTGAACTTTAATAACATACCATAAAGTTTAAGTGTTAGTGACGTTAGTATCGTATAAATATTAATGTCTATATTTTTCAATATTTATACACACTGGCTGAGATAGATAGCAGATGTTATAAGGAGTAACTTGGGCTGCTTTTATTTTAGGGTTCCGTGAAAAATATCTCCACGCGGGCGAAGTCGAGGGGAACAGCTAGTTGAGGATAAATATAGATGTTGTCAAAATGCATGTGTTGTCACTAAGATGATAGCTTCTTGCTTCAGTAAAAATGATATCCAGTTATTTGCGTTCACCGTATAAATCACAGCAGCTATATGCTGCTATTTCACGCTGGTACTCTGTGCGAGCATTGTCCGTAAATGGGACACATCTACTTACCATCATGTACTGCGTGCTTGTTTATTATTTTATTTTATGTTATTTCTTTAAGGACAGCCAGAGGTAATGACAGTAATACATGTTCACAAAACATAATATATAAGCTTAATTTTTAAATGTAAAACCTATTAAAGGCAGCCACAACATGCTTCACAAGAAGAGTAAACATTTTATAACATAAATTACAAAATATTAGAAACATAACCTAAAAATAAATCAAAGATCGAGAAATACCACAAATATTAATAAAAATATAAACTAATAAACTGACACACCTTAAAACAATACAGGGGGAAAATCACAATAACCAATTAAACCAAATAACAAAATTAATACATATCGAACTCTTAAATACTATCTCTTAAGTTCTGTAGTACTATTTTTTTAAAAGAGGATGAAGTATTGATAAAAATGTCCACAGAATCCGACATCAAATTCAGCAAACGTGACATTCTAGCTAAACTATTGTTATGACCTAGATTAAATTTAGAAGGAAGTGGATGGAACAAAGGTACAGATTTACGCGGGTAACCCCTTGGAACTTTAAATTATATTTCTGGCAATAGCTCAGCGCTGTCCGTAGTTCCGTGCACTATTTTATAAAACATTACCATGTCCGGATAATTTCTTCGGTTTGTAAAGCTGTCAACGCCAAAGAATTTTAACTTCTCGTTATATCCGGCAAGTTTCTTGTCATTTATGTTATTTTATGTAAAAGTATTTAACAATGAACTTTAGCTAACTATAAGGTTTCATTCTGTGTTTTTTTTCAGTTGTCCACCTCATTTATTCCGCTGTACGTATGGCGCATGCGTGAACGGTGCAGCTGCTTGCAACGGTAAAGTGGAGTGTGCCGACTCGTCCGACGAGTTGATACCGCAATGCCTAGATGAAAACTCTGAAGTCAAGTAAGTGATATTTATATATAATTGTGCTATTTATTAATAAATAACTAGAACTAGTTAGGTTTACATGTATGAGAGGCACGCTGCAGCTATATTATTGTTAGGAGCTTTGGGTTCGAGACAATTGAAAACTGCCGAGTGAATTACCAAAATTGACACTTTAATTACAGAACTCCAATTACAACTTAAAACCACACTAATAACAAAAACAATTCTACTACTGATCACTTTAGTACGTAGTTGTATCGCATCGAAGTATTCGCTTGTATTGTATCGCCAATTCAACACTGACGATAGTTCTAGAAAGTTCTTCCATGGAAATTTCTAGAAGCATCTTGACTCTCCTAGTTCTGCTACTCGATACTAGAAGGCGATAGTGGTAACTAGTGTCGCCATGTACCAGGCATTATTCGTGGCGCGCAACACTGTCCTCCTACATTATGGTTGTAGCACGAATGCGTCGTCTCTACCAAGAAAGGACTACGCTCCCAAAGAAGACCAGCGTAAAATTTCAGTTTAATGCTGCCGTGTTTCGTATAGTAGGTGTCGGAGACCCTTTTTACTGGAAACGAAGCATTCCATTTTAGTTCTCAGGTGTGACAACACCTGTATTTTGATTCTTAATTGTAGCAAGATGATGTCTATGAGCCACAGCATGCACTTCTCATTGTGTGCTTGTTTGATAGCCTTATTACATAAAAAATTTGAAATCCTTTCTTGCACAGGAGTCCGTTTGTAGTTACCGCCCTCTTACATCGTCACTCCATCTAGCGGGGGGACGCCCTACACTTCACATGTCGGTACGAGGCTGCCACTCGAGAACCTTTCTTCCCCATCGGTGATCGGTTCTTCGAGCTATATGGCCGGCCCATTGCCACTTCAGCTTACTAATTCTTTTAAATTGGAAGTAATTGGAAGTAAAGACTAGAAATGAGTTGGGGGGTGACTCGCACTTTAGGCATACTCGGTTTGAAAAGCCTATCATGTAGAGGATGTCATGGGGGTCATGGTTGAATAGGGGCAAAGAGTTCTCATTACACTCCTAGGGGGTCAAAATGGCCAGAAACTAAAAAATTAGGAGGGGGGGGGGTTCGAACTTTAGGCATACTCAGTTTGAAAAGCCTATCTTGTAGAGGATGTCGTGGGGGTCAAGCTTGAATAGGGGCAAAAAGTTCTCATTACACTCCTAGGGGATCAAAATGGCCAGAAACCAAAAAGTTGGGGGGGGGGGGTGGCTCGAACTTTAGGCATAGTCAGTTTGAATAGCCTATCATGTAGAGGATGTCATGGGGGTCATGGTTGAATATAGGCAAAAAGTTCTCATTACACTCCTAGGAGGTCAAAATGGCCAGAAACCAAAAAATTGGAGGAGGGTGGCTCGAACTTTAGGCACAGTCAGTTTGAATAGCCTATCATGTAGAGGATGTCATGGGGGTCATGGTTGAATATCGGCAAAAAGTTCTCATTACACTCCTAGGAGGTCAAAATGGGCAAAAACCAAAAATATTAAAAATTCCTATTTCGGCTATAACTCTGCCTCCTTCGGAGGTTCTTACACAGTCTTTACTTACCGCATCCCACTTGTTAAACATAAGAGTAACATACATCATTATTTTATTTTATCTTTCACATTTATTATAGAAAAAACCTGTTCTACTGATACATGGCTGTGCATGTTAATCTGGTTCTACTGAGGATATCTTCATTATGGATTCTATCACGCAGGGAGATTCCGATTGACCTCTTCATAGCTCGCTGAGCGACTTTTAGCTTCCTCAATAGCTTTTCATTGGTCAACTTAAACTCGAACTTAAGTTCTTAATGATAAATTTATTTTAAAGTGGACAGTACAAATGCCGTAATGGGGAGTTGATCCTTGCTGTGAAACGATGTGATGGCGATGCAGATTGCGCTGATGGCTCTGACGAAACAGTTGAATCCTGTGGGGCGATGGTGTGCCTCCCCTACCTGTTCCAGTGTGCATATGGAGCCTGCGTTAATAAGGGAGCTGACTGCGATGGGGTAAGGAAAAGGAATATACGTCTGTTACTATTTAGTTGGTTTTTGGAGTAAGTTTTGTACGTGGTAGAGCCACGCTGTAGCTATATTAGTAGTATAGTTGTAGCACGAATAGGTCGGCTCGCCCGGGGAACGACCACGCTCTCACAGAATACCAGCGTAAAATAGCAGCTTAACGCTGCTGTTTTTCGTGTGGTGAGTGTAGAGAACCGGAGACCCTTTTTACTGGAAATGAGGCATTCCATCTTAGTCCTCACGGGTAGTCTCGCAAAAACTCGAAAATATCTGGATCGATTTAGATGAATTTTTTTGTGTGTGAGTGGGTCCATGGATGTACTAAACGATTCACAATTGGACCCGGTAGGTAGCGCTGTTGTTGTGATCCAGAAATCACTCGTGCGAAGCCGGGGCGAATTGGTAGTTAGTCAAACATATTTACAACGTTGCCGTGTCGTTGCGGTGTAAGAATATCCACTACCACATATCGTTCTGTGGGTGTCGTGAGAGGCGTCAGAGGGAAACTGAAACAGGAGATGTGCAGCAGCATCTTCCTGGTAACAACTCAATATAATGAAATACTGCAGTTGCCAACCCACTTGACAATCGATGGAGAACCTATGTTCGATAGTGGACTTTTATATGCCGTAATGGATGTATTGGATAGATCTACAATCTACATTATGCAGCTGATATTGACGAAAATTTTTATATTTTCATTGTAGAAGATAGACTGCGCTGATGGATCCGACGAGGCTATAGAACTCTGCGGCGCGACTTCAACAGATGTTACAGCAACACCTCCGAAGTGAGTGGTCGTTACGGTTTTTAGCTTGCTTCTTCGACTTCTAACTTTGAAAAAGGAGGTGGTTCTCAATTTGAGAAAGAATTCCATCCAGCGTGACAAAATAAGGGATGAAGTTTTTATATTTTTATTTATTTAAATACTAGCTGTGTCCCGCGACTTCGCCCGCGTGGAGTTTACTACGATTTCATGGATATCAATTTTTTTGCGCGAAACCCTAATTTTATTTTTGAGTAATGTTATCATCTTATAAATATTGACATTAATATCTATACGAACTAAAGTCACTCAATTTTTTTGCCTTCCCAGAACCGCTCCACTAACACTTAAACTTTATGGTATAGTATTAAAGTTCAAATTGACTTTTAAGTATTATTACGAATCTTTTGTATGGGAATATAAAAAAAGTGTTGTATTAAGACTTTTTCAGGCAATTTTTTAAATTTTTCGCTCCGTAAGAACCATCTTCGTACTTTCAAGGAATATTATTATAAAAAAAATTAGCGATATCGGTTCAGCTGCTCTCGAGATTTGCGCTTAGCAACATATTCAGCGATTCATTTTTATATTATAGATAACGATTTTTATCATCATATTGTAACTATAATGATAAAAAATCATTACATTTAAATAAAAGATGAGATGATATTTGAGCTAGTGATATTCCTTCGTTCACTTAAAAGATTAATAAAATAAAATAAAAAACATGCGTGAGTGTCGTGGAACACTCGGTTGGAACAGAAACTTTTTTTATTCAATATAGATTATAAATAATACGAAGTTCCTTTCGTAGTATATTATTATTGATAAACATTTTATATTATTGATTAACAAATAAAAATAAATGAATTACTAGCGTCCATTAAAATGAAGCGGCATTTAAAATAAAATGATATTTCTTTCATGGCATGATAAAAAAGTGCGAGAGAGATGAATATTATTCCACCTCGCTTCCTTATAGCTACGGCCTTAAGGCCGTCTACACTACGTCAGAAGGGGTCGTGACGGATAAATCTTACACTTTTTCTCGCCTAGCCTCCATCCGCCAAATTCGTACCGTCCGATAAGGAACTTCATTCCAATATAAAAGCCGACTACAAAGAACTAAAAGGAATAATTTCTCATACGGGGCTTTAATTATGTGAAATTATAATTAAAAATATATTTTTTTATTTTTTGAATTTGCCACTTAATTTTTATAAATAGTTAAATTTATGACCCTTTTTAAGTAAGTGGCAAATTCAAAGAAACAAAAAAATCTTCCTGTATTCTTCTAGTATACATAACGGGTTCAGTTAAAATAATTAGAAAAATATATTAGTTTTATTAACGAAACTATGTTTTTTTTTTGAAGTGAATACTTCTTTAGCCGCGTTGAGCGATTTTTGGTAGGGGAAAATCTTATGGATTCGCGTCACCGATGACCTCGACATGCTCTACGCTGGCGTAGAGCATGTCGTAGCCAGCCAAGCCAGCGTAGTAGATGAGCATGTCTGCTACGCTGACTTGCGAAAATAGCGACGCATAGTATAGCGGCCCAAGTACACGTATACGCATATATCATCGAGTTTACACTTCTGTCGACAGTCCTTTTACTGCCTTTCTTTTCTTATTTATTTGAGTTCATATTTATTTGTTGGTTTTCATGAATTATAAATTACACCATCAACTATGATGTTTCACATCAGCCGGGCATCCCGTGACGGCAATGTTTTTTTTTAAATTTACAATTTATAATTTTTGTCACAGGCCTACAGACAACTCTGGCGGTTCTGCGTGCATTCTGCCCAAATATCCAAAGCACGGTACATACAGGGTGCTCGGGGCACGTGGTGTTTTCCCCGGAGAAGTGTATTCCAATCCGATTCTCGACGTCCGTTGTGAACCTGGATACGTGTTGAACGCAACTAGCAACGTTTATTGTGTTGATGGCGTTTGGTTCGGCGATATGCCACATTGCATCCGTAAGTTCAAGACATTATAAATAGCCTTATATCAGAGTGGACTAATACAAGCGTCCCGCAAGACACGCACACAAGCACGGGGTTCACTTACAGTTAGGGTTGCCAGACTTAAATTATTTTAACGGACGTCCTTTATTTCTCACCCAAAAATTGATTTTGTCTCCTAATTTAAAATCTTTAATAGAGGACATCGCGCATATTCGACATTCTCTCCAGTAATTGAGATCAAAGAGTTTTACGTTGAGGTTAGGAGACGTGCGATTTTAATAGATGCAAATTACATTACATTACATATTAACATTTTTTTAAATTAACTAATGTCGCTAAAACTGTAACTAAAAATAATATTTTAATAATAATAATTATAATAATTACTTCTGCTATTCTGCCACAGCCTATGCGCATTGACCATGCAGGGTCTTAGGCAAGTGATGAAACACACGTATCAGCTACAAATAAATAATAATAAAAATAAAACAATTAATAGATAATAGTGAATAAAGAAATGTTCACTGATTTGAGGGGATATCAGAGCCAGGGACTGCTGTTGAATCAGCCATTTGCGGCATTTTTGCCGGAAGGTAGACGGAGATAAGGTAGACTGGATTGGTGGTGGCAAATCGTTCCAGATTTTGGCAGCGGCGAATTGAAAACATCTTCTGGCTCCAGCGAGTTTAATCCTGAGTAGTGGAATCCGCTGACATTTTTCTCTAACGGAGAGCAAACTTTTTTTAACACACTATATCAGCTATACGAATATCGTGGAGACGCTGCGTGACGCAGTTTGTGCAGAAAGCAAGCATATTTTAACCTGGTACTATTGGACATATTTAAAATGTCATTTCTAGCTAAATAATGTGAAATCCTACGCCTTTTTGGTATATTATTATATATATTGGATATTAAAACAAAACGCATACATGCATTCTGCACTCTATGTACATTCTTCTCTTCTTTCTTTCTCTATTTCTATCTCATTTCCTTTATTTAATCTTATGAAATCCTCTAAAACATTAAACGGGAGGTAGCTACCCTACTTAAGTAGCACACAGAGAAAATGACGTGATGCCCACACGCATTATAATGTAATGCTGATACAATGTATATGGTAATGTTGCCATACTGTTTACACAGAGTATTTTGTTATACAGGGCAATGCAAGCTAGTTCCTAACCCAAGCGTGAGTTACACGTGCATGACCGTCGAACACAACGTGATGAGTTCCTGGGCCTGTAAAGAGTACGAGGTGGACGGCACCATCGCTGTTCCAAAATGCCAGGAGAACTATCATTACACTGGCATAGCTCCGAACGCGAAGTGCGTTAATGGACTGTGGGAAAACCTTATCACCTGCAACCCAGGTGAGAAATGAGATTTTCGAATTTTAACATCTAGTAAGGTCTTAGCTTTTAGTATTTTTTTTTAAACTGAAGTGGTAAACAAACTTACAGCCTACCTGACAGTAATTAAAACCGCATCCCACGGACGCATGCAACCATACTAAGGAGGATACAGATGCGTTGTGAAGTTTGAGAACAAAGATGGGATTTCTCTTATCCTGTAATTATACTGGATTCATAATATACTTCAGACCAAAACACACAGTGCACACATACACACACACACACACACACACACACACACATGCGCGCGCACTCGCGCACACACTCGCGCGCTTGTGCACACGCATGCACACACACACACACACACACACACACACACACACATTCACACACACACACACACAGAGAGAGAGAGAGAGAGAGAGAGAGAGAGAGAAAGAGAGAGACAAACGCGCGCGCACATACACACACGCACGCACGCAAAAGCCCGCGCGCTTGCGCGCACGCGCACACACACACACACACACACACACACACACACACTCACATACACACACACACACAGCCGCGCGCGCGCGCGCGCATACATGCACAGTTACACAAGTAATTTATTCTTTTTCTGTTTGAGAAACTTTTGTTAATTGGAACCTTTTTTGTTATCTAAAGTTAAAGTTACAGCCTAAATACCATCCCACTACTGGGCACAGGCATCCTCTCATTTCTAAGAAAGCGCTGTGATATAGGGATAATTCTAGTTCAGAAATTAGGCACTTCACATATTTACTCTATGGTTATAAAGGTTACGATAGATATTATTAATATTATATTATAAAATGTATAATTTTTTTTGTTTAAAAAGAATGTGGAACTGTTGTACCGAAAAGCAACCAGCTTATGATAGGTGGCCGTGAAGCGGAGCGTGGTGAACTGTCATGGCATGCTGGTATCTACCAAAAGTCAAGGTCATTCGAACAGATATGCGGAGGCTCACTCGTCAGGAAAAAGGTCATCATATCCGGTAAGTGTTTATTAAAGTTTATTTAACGCTAGTGACTACATCAGCTGCATCACTACGTGGTAGAGCCGTGCTGCAGCTTATATTATGGTTGTAGCACGAATGGGTCGGCTCGACCGGGGAAGGACCACGCTCTCACAGAATACCAGCGTAAAATAGCAGTTTAACGCTGCTGTGTTTCGTATGAAGAGTGTAGAGAACCGGAGACCCTTTTTACTGGCAAAGAGGCATTCCATCTTAGTCCTCACGGGTGACAACGCATCTGCATCTTGAGTCTTTATTGAGGATAGGTGTAGATGTCTATGGGTCACATAAACCACTTACCATCAGGTGGACAGTGTGCTCGTTTGTCACCCGATCCTATATAAAAAAAAACATCGCAAATCTTGGGCTCGATTCCGGTTGCGCCTCTCGCAGCTTTGAAAACATTTCAGATTTTCGGAATTATCTTTTGTTAGGGTACTCGTACATCGTCCTCTGTCCGTATGTCTGTCTGTATGCCACGGATCTTTAACATCTTTAGTTCGTAGACAAATAAATACATAGTATAAAAGAACATAATTTGTCCTAATATGTACAGAAAAAAAAAACAGAAACGCTAATAGAGTGAGGTCGGCTCGTAAGGTCAGTTGTTTCTAACTTAATTTTTTGCTAAATTTATGTCGTGGGTGTCGTAAATGACATCACGTTTGATGTGTGCTCGCTTGTCACCCTTAATCTATAAAAAAATATTTATTTCTCTATCCAGGGTTATTTTGCAATAACCGTCCAAATTTGCAGAGAAGGTTCAGAATAAATAACATAGGCAAATGGTGAAGAAAAAATATTAAAAAAATCTCAAACATTCTGTCTTTATTATCTTTAAAATTGAAAATTTATGGTAATGCATTATTTTAACTGATTGTCATTCATGAATATCTAACGCCTACTATTCTACTACGCACGCACACTTTCGTAAGGGTCGATTAGTCGGTTAAAACGTTGTGAATTGAATCGCACACAGAGAAGCACGGGTAGGCGTACTTGTTGCCCATAAATAACATTTAATTTGGGATAATTTCAAATAAAAGTAGATGCCTTATTTACTCGTATTATTAAAAACTTCGATAACGATATGTCATTATTTATAAAATATTTGAAATAAAGTTTAAAATTTGGCTAGTCTTTGAAAAATAACCCTATATATAAAAATCAATTGCTGTCCAAAGAAAAAGGAATAATGGCTAGGAAGTATCCGCGTGTTGGTGCACTTCACTGTTTAAGATTTTTTTTAATTTCAAGCATGCATATTTCCTCACTTTGTTTTCTTTTATCACCGAGAAACCGAGTACCGGAGAATAGGAATCGAACTCGAATTTGAAGCGTGTTGTGCAAATAACGGCAAGCACTTAGCTTCCACGTCTCTACTATAATTAAATGATATATCTCTATGTATAAAAATCATTTCTGTCCGTTAGTCCTGCTAAAACTTGAAAGTGGCTCGACCGAGTCAGATTAAATTTTTTTTTAAATATTTTAAGGGTATTTTTTTAAATATTATATACGATAAGGGTAACAAACGAGCACACAGTCCACCTGTGGTAAGTGGTTACTGTGGCCCATAGACATCTACATCTACCTTCGATTACGAATGAAAATGCAGATGCGTTCCCACCCGTGAAGACTAAGATGAAGTGCCTCGTTTCCAGCAAAAAGGGCCTCCGGTTCTCTACACTCACCATACGAAACACAGCAGCGTTAAGCTGCTATTTTACGCTGGTATTTTGTGAGAGCGTGGTCCTACCTCGGTCGAGCCGACCCATTCGTGCTACAATTACAATAATTGGACCTTATAGGTGGCGCTGATGTCGAGATTAAGAAACCACCCGTGTGAAATCGTGGCGAATCGCTAACTTTAAATAAAATTGAAGTATTTTGAACTCAGGGGGCTGTGTGCATGCCATTAAAACATGAATTACCATTATTTAAATTCTGTCTGTCTGTGCGAGCTAATCTTCAAAATGGCTGAACCGATTATGATGAAACTTCATGAACAGATAGAGAGAAATGCCAGTAGTGATCTAAGCTATATTTAAAATTCGAATATCTTAGGGGGTTTTTATACGGAATAAAAAACCTGATAAAATAAGTGGAGGCCAAATTATTAGATCCCATCCTGGCGCAAACGTGAAGGGACGCTAGTCTTAAATAATAATATTCTTTGAGTTTGACTTTGAATAAACTTTCCAGCGGCCCATTGCTTCTGGAATAGTAATAAGGAGACAAAAATGCCGTCATCCGACTACGCGGTAGCTGCGGGGAAAATATATAGATCATGGAATGATAAACGCGAGAATGACGTACAGAAAAGAGATGTAAGTTGATACATTTTTATTTTAGTGTTTTCTTTTATTTCTTCTTTTATATTATCAGTTGACGAGCCGTGGCAGCTCAGGGGCTGAGCGCTTGCGTAAATAGTACGAGCAACCCAGATTCGATCCTCGCCGGTATGAATGAAATGTTATTTGCAGCTTTGAGTACTGAATTACCAAGTTCGCTGTGAAAGAATACATCGTGAGCACACTTACGAGCCTATTTACACTTACGAGCCTATTAAACTCTTACGAGCCTATTTCACTTATGAGCCTATTTCACTTACGAGGCTATTTCACTTACGAGCCTATTTATACTTATGATCCCTTCGAACACTTACGAGCCTATTTCACTTACGAGCCTATTTCACTTACGAGCCTATTTATACTTACGATCCCTTCGAACACTTACGAGCCTATTTCACTTACGAGACTATTTCACTTACGAGCCTATTTCACTTTCGAGCCTATTTAGACTCACGAGCCTATTTACACTTACGAGCCTATTTAACTCTTACGAGCCTATTTCACTTATGAGCCTATTGCACTTACGAGGCTATTTCACTTACGGGCCTATTTACACTTACGAGCCTTTCGAACACTTACGAGCCTATTTCACTTACGAGCCTATATTACTTACGAGCCTAAATAACTCTTACGAGCCTTTCGAACACTTACGAGCCTATTTCACTTACGAGCCTATATCACTTACGAGCCTAAATAACTCTTACGAGCCTATTTCACTTATGAGCCTATTTCACACTTACGAGCCTATTTCACTCTTACGAGTCGATTTCACTTACGAGCCTATTTTACTTATGAGCCTATTTCACTTACGAGCCTATTTCACTTGTGAACCTGATTACACTTACGAGCCTACTGAACACATACGAGTCTATTTCACTTACGAGCCTATTTACACTTACGAGCCTTACGAACACTTACGAGCCTATTTCACTTACGAGTCTATTTCACTTACGAGCCTATTTACACTTACGAGCTTTTCGAACACTTACGAGCCTATTTCACTTACGAGGCTATTTTACTTACGAGCCTATTTACACTTACGAGCCTTTCGAACACTTACGAGCCTATTTCACTTACGAGGCTATTTTACTTACTAGCCTATTTACACTTACGAGCCTATTTAACATTTACGAGCCTATTTACACTTACGAAGCTCTTTAACACTTACGAGTTTATTTTACTAACGAGCCAATTTCGATGAATCTGCAAAGACCGCAGAGCTAACAGCGTAAACTTTCAGAAAAAAGTGGGCCTCGCCTGTAGTGGTGAGCATTTGCCTCAATCGTCGCTCTTCCAGGTGGTTTGACGTTCAGTACCAGACGTGAGCACCTTTAAACCCGCTTTCCATCGCCGGTCTTCATATTTTACGTTTGGCGTTAGTGAGTTGGTTTTAGCGTCATCTATTGAAAGACATACTATAGCTCTCACATAGGGGTTACATAAGGCGCTGCAGCGAGTTTCTACCAAGATTATTATGCCGTATTTTATTTCTAACCCTACTTTCGCACATTTCAGGTATATTTACTTATAGTCTCACTTGAAATTAACAATCTTCATCATCATAACTGCAGACCATCAAAAGCCCACTGCTGAATTAGGGGCTCATTTACAGACTTGGTAAAGGTTTTTTTTTTATAGACTACGGGTGTCAAATGAGCACATAGTCCACCTGATGGTAAGTAGCTGCTGTGACCCATAGACATTTATCCTCAATTTAGTATCAAAACGCAGATGCGTTGCTACCCCTGAGAACTGATATGCAATGCCTCGTTTCCAGTAAAATGGGTCTCCGGTTCTCTACACTCACCATACGAAACACAGCAGCATCAAGCTGTTATTTACGCTGGTATTGCACTTTATTTCCTGATTATTATTAGGAAGACGATGCTTTCCATCTCCAGGTTTGTTTCCCTCTGTCGGCTCTTACGACACCCTCGGGTCGATATGGGGTAGTAAGATATTATTAACTCGCCGTAATAATATAAATGCAATTTTTAACCAACTTCAAAAAAGGAAGAGGTTCTCAATTCGAATGTATATTTTTTTTATATTTACTTTACGTGGTAGAGCCATGTTGCAGCTATATATATTACTGGTATAGTTGTAGCACGAATGGGTCGGCTCGACCGGGGAAGGACCACGCTCTCACAGAATACCAGCGTAAAATAGCAGCATAACGCTGCTGTGTTTCGTATGGTGAGTGTAGAGAACCGGAGACCCTTTTTTACTGGAAACGAGGCATTCCATCTTAGTCCTCACGGGTGACAACGCATCTGCATTTTGATTCGTAATTGAGGATAGATGTAGATGTCTATGTGCCACAGCAACCACTTACCATCACGTGGACTGTGTGCTCGTTTGTCACCCTAATTCTACAAAAAAAATGTGTTACCCCAGAACTTTTTTCTAGGTGAACCGATATTGATGATTCTTTTATTATTTAAAAGCTGGTGCTTCTCACGTGGTCCGATATAAATCCCACCATATCAGACCAGTAGTTTTTTCGCTATCCTTAATAATGCGTATTTAATTGACTGACTACATTGATGACGTTCTCATTTTATTTATATTGAAATCGATTGTACAGGATTTTAATTTTATCACTTGTTTTAAATTATACTACGAGGTCATTAACTATTGTTTAAAATTTCGTTCAGGTCAGCGATATAAAAATTCCAAAACGATTCAGGGGTCCCGAAACCAATTATCAAGACGACATTGCTCTGATCTTCGTGGAAACAGCATTTGAATATACTCAATATATTCGCCCAGTTTGCGTTGACTTTGACGAAGCCTTCAACAGTGAGCAATTAAGACCTGGACAAAAAGGAAAGGTAAGGACTCTAAGAAACTGCTGGTTGACTGCTAAAAATAAGAAATAAATTAAAGTTTGCTTTATCTAGCTTGAAGTGCGATATAACTTAGGGATCTTTAAGAAAAAATGCCTACGCCATTCTCAAATGCCGGCAGCACTTTGTGGTTACTCACATTAATTGGTCGTATGCTCGTTTGAAGCCCCTGTGACGCAGTGGCTTAGCAATGAGTTGGAGCGCTCAGAGCTGCGGGTTCGAATCCCGTATTGTATGCCGTATAAGTAGTGTAGTTCTTGTGAAATTTGTGTGTGTAAATTGCTTCCACGTTACGGTAGAAAAAACTAGTGTGGGGTTAATTTATAAAAAGAGGAAATAAAAAAATAGTAGTAAGTGTAGAACTGTGGCCAGCAGTAGCTTATATAGGCTGTTACTATACTTTCTTCTTCGACTTTTTCATCATTCTGTAATATCCACCGCTGGAAATGGGCCTCTAGCGTTGCAGAAAGGATATACGCCAATCACAGCCTAAGAAGAACACACAATAACAAGAATAAACAATAAATTGCTAGGGTTGTCAGAGCGGAAAGTAATAAAAAAATAAACAATTGATTTATTTATTTTATTTTATTTCACGTTTGAACAAAAACAAATTAAATAAATTAAGTCAAAATACCCAGCCCGTCGCGGGCTGGGTATTTTGACTGACATAAAGGTTTTTCTTGGAAAAGAAAAGAAAGACAAAAAGGAAACATCTTTATTAGTTGCTATACATGTATACAGGCAGTCCCAAAACTCAAGGTCAATCGGGTAAGGGGCTATATCGGTTTTGTCAACAATAAGAAAAAAAACGAGTCGTACAAGTGTGCTAAAACTACGCTTGCTTAAGACATAATAGGTTTTACGCATGCTTTTTAAAGGTGGAGCGTCTTAAGGACAGTTTGCTTTACGATGACAATTTTGGCACAATTACGGACATTGCAAATGTGTTTCGCGAATGTCATACCGTGGTCAAATGTGACGCCTAGATATTTGGCCGTTGATTGCCAGGGGATCTGGTGGCCATACATGGTGATCGTACCTAGAGATTTCTTGGAATTTTTGTATTGTCGATTGAGAGTGGGGTGGTTTGAAAGTGTATTACTACACTTTTTTCAGGATTTACTTCGATTCTCTATAAGCGGCCCCAATCGCCTAAGCGGTTGACTGCTGTGACGTAGGTGCCGGTTCATCGGCGAAAAGAGTAGTATTCGCTACACTGGGTCCTTAGGGATGTCACTCGTGAAGAGTGTGAAGAGTATTGGGGAGAGGACGGAACCCTGTGGGACTCCAGCTTTGAGGTGACGTCTTGTGGAGTGAGTGGCCTATATTCGATACCGAAAATGGCGATTGGCAAGAAAAGATCTGATGATGTGAATTAGCCTATCAGGCACGTTAAGTTTCTATAGCTCGGAAAAAAATCCGTCGTGCTAGACTTTGTCAAGCGCTTTTGCGACATCGAAGGATTCGAAAATTCGAAAGGATCGGTCGAAGTGATTCTACGACTTCTTCTTGGCAGGTTTTAGAATGTATTCTGTAAGGCGATGTAGGTTGTCGGTATACGAGTGCTCGGGTTTGAAACCGAACTGCTCGTCTGGAAAAAGTTTATTAGCGAAGATGTATTTACGAAGGTGATTTAATATGAGTCGCTCGTAAACTTTTCAGTGTGCTGAGAAGGCTGATTGGTCTGTAACAAGTTGCGCGGTTTCCCTGGTTTCGAGATTCCTATTATATCTGCGTTTTACCAGGCATCCGGGAAGGAGTACTTGGAAAGAAAAGCGTTCAATATGCCCACTAGGAGGCACACAAGTTGTGCGGAGAGGGATTTCAGCACCCTGTTGCTAATGCCATCGGGGCCGGGTGCTGATTTCTTTTTGAAATTTTTTATTGCTTCTGTGACTTCGTCAACTGTCACAGGTTCTAAGGGGATGCCCGCTGGTGGTAGTGCAGACTTACGCTCGACCTCCATTTCGACCTCTGCAAGGTGAGCGGGGTCTATCAGTTCGCTTGAGGGAGTACATTGGCTTTCTAAACTGTCTGTGAGGTATTCGGCCTTTTCAGAGTCGTCATAGGCGAGATCTGGATTTCCTGATCTAATTAGTAGTAAGATTGTTCTACTTTCAGAGCTCGGGTCTACTGCCAGAAGACAGTTTGTGATGGCTCGATATCCGTTAACAGATTATCCCACTTATCATGTCTAAATTCCTTGGTGCGCTGTTTCACCTCGTTGTGTAGGTTGCGCAGTTGGAATTTGTTGCATATGGTACAATAGTGATCATATTGTCTAAGGGCAGTGTTATTCGCTTTAATCAGCTGTCGAATATCACTCAGAAGCTTCATGTGTCGATTGCTCGACACACGAACCCTACGAGAACATTCTTCAACTGTAGAGGTGAGGTGGGCCGATAGGGCGCTGATCGCCACATTGGCTTCCTCTAGCGAGTCTATCTTGTCAGGGATTTTGTGTCGGTGCTGGTACTGCAGCAACAAATAGGCATTCGACTAAGCATTATTCTGCTGTGGAATATCCAGCGCTGATATTCCGCTGGTGCCATAAAAAATCACGAGCAGTCACTTAACAGGTTGTCTATGAGATATTTTATGTAAAAATTTGGAAAATAAAATTTTTGGCGCTACCTCTTACGTCATCCATGGACGTTCAGCGATCTCTTACGTTGCAACTTTAGTTATCGATTTTGGAATAAAAATAATCAGAGTTTTGCGGACAAAACATAGCTTAGATCACTCATGGCATCGCTCTCTATCAGTTTGTGAAGTTTTATTACAAACGGCTAAGCCATTCCGAAAATTATCCCGAACAGACAGACATACAGAAATTTCACAAATGATAATTCTGTTCTTAATAGCATACAAATAATTCATTGAAAACGACAAAAGGAAGTTATTTCGATATATCCGATACACACCAATTATATTTATATGTATAGATAAAACTTCTTTGGTTTTTTTGCTTTTAGGTTGCAGGTTGGGGCTTAACAAACCCTATAGGTATACCTTCTGAAGTACTACGAGTTGTGGAACTGCCCGTGGTGGACATTGGAATCTGTTTAGACAGATCGCCCCCCGATTTCAAGGCGTACATCACCAGCGACAAGATCTGCGCCGGATTTTATAATGGTCTTTATAAATTATTTCTTCTCTATTATCATCATCACTATTTGCAACATCACCGCATAGCATTTCATTTTTTTACATAATAAGAGTTACTAACGAGCACACAATCCGCATGATGATAAGTGAATGCTGTGGCCCATAGATACATACATCTATTCTTCATCAAGAATCAAAATGCAGATGCGTTGACCCCTGAGGACTAAGATGGAATGCCTCGTTTCCAGTAAAAAAGGTCTCCGGTTCTCTACACCAGTATATAAAACACAGGAGCATTAATCTGGAATTCTGTGCGAGCGTGGTTATTCCCCGGTCGAGCCGATCCATTCGTGCTACAACCATAATATAGCTGCAGCATATATGAATTAATTTTCATCATTTCGCAACAGATGTCTCTCTTTTAATTCTTTATACCGCAATTGCTTCGGTTCTCTATTGCAACGTTAGTATATTATTAACTTCTTATCCTAGCTTTACTCGGATCTTGATCAACATCAAGATTATAGGCAAACACAATATCGATGATTACCCGTCGCATAATTCCAGCGTAAAATAGATCACTGACTTACTGGAGTCCATCGACTTACTGGAGGCCGCTTTACAATTCGGTACAAAGCCGGTACAAAACTGCCACCCCAGAATTTTTTATTGTGTTCATTTTAAATAATAAAAATGTAATATAAAAACGATTAATCACATTAAATAAAACTATTCTTTTACGGATTTTATCGCATTTAATTTAACTTTTTAATTCCCGACGTTTCAGGTGCTTTACAGCTGTCATAGTTAGCCCGACTAACTTCGGTTTTTGAATATAAATTTTTGGTAAAACACCGATAAAATCCGTAAAAAATTAGTTTCATTAGATGTGTAGTCTTCGCGTAAATATAAGAAATCGTTATGATTATCATATTTTATTTCATACCGTTACCGTTACAGTCTATTAAAGTACACTACTGAACATATGCCTAATAGGGAGAATATTTGCCTTAGTAGCAAGGTTGAGCTTAGGTTGACAACAGCAGTTTTTATTTTATTTTTAGTCGTTATTAGGAAGACGATGCTGCCAATCTCCTGATTTGTTTTCCTCTGTTGTCTCTTACGACTCCACGGGATGATATGGGGTGTTCGATACTCTTACACCGCCAAAACACTTTATTTATTGGAACAAAGTTCCTTATCAGACAGTATGGGTTTGGCGGATGGGAGGCAGGCGACAAAAAGTGTAAGATTTTTTCGTCACTACCTTTAGTGTCATAGTGTATTTTATGATGATGACGCTTCATTTTAATAGACGCTTACAATTATTTTATTTATATTTGTTAATCAATAATATAATACGTTTATCAATAATAATATAGTATGAAAGGAACTTCGTTCCAACCGAGTGTTTCACGACACTCACGCATGTTTTATACTTCAGGCACGGCGTTATGCAAGGGCGACAGCGGAGGCGGGCTTTCCTTCTCGGATCTAGATCGTGGGAAACTGCGTTACTATCTGCGGGGAATAGTCTCGACCGCACCCAGGAATGACGACGTTTGCAACTCACAAACTATCACCGCATTCACAATGATCATGTCTCATAAAGTTTTCATCAATAATAACGTTAAGGAAAGTATTTAAATAAAATGTTATTATACTAAGAACGTTTTTATTTACATACATAAACGTGAGTGTTTCCCACCTGTACCTGTGTGCCTGTGTGCCTGTCACCCAGTGGGGTAGGCAGAGACAATGGACTTTTGGCACGATCCTGACACACCTCTCTTGCTTCCTCAACATCCATAAACCTACACATACATGCTCGTCAGTTAAGGGTACTCTTAGTTTTAGGTTACTTACTCTTAGTTTTTATTTATACAATCAAAATGACGAATTTTACTGTACAGTGGCGGCGTAAGCGAATCTGCTGTCTCATTTCATTGAGTGGGTATTGTGGAGACAATATAAAAAATTTGTACAACCGACTTCAATATAAATTAATAAGGATAACTCAAGAACTACTGGTCAGATCTTAATCAAATTTAAACGGGACCACACGAGAAGCACCAGCTTTCAAATAAAAAAGAATCATCAAAATCGGTTCACCGACTCGGTGGACTGTGTGCAAACGAGCACACAGTCCACCTGATGGTAAGTGGTTGCTGCGGCCCATAGACATCTACATCTATCCTCTATTACAAATCAAAATGTAGATGCGTTGTCACCCGTGAGGACTAAGATGGAATGCCTCATTTCCAGTAAAAAGGGTCTCCGGTTCTCTACACTCACCATACGAAACACAGCAGCGTTAAGCTGCTATTTTACGCTGGTATTCTGTGAGAGCGTGGTTCTTCCCCGGTCGAGCCGACCTATTCGTGCTACAACTATACTACTAATATAGCTGCAGCATGGCTCTACCACGTAAAAAAGTTATGAAGTAACACACATAAAAAAAAGAACATACAGTCGAATTGAACTCCTCTTTTTGGAGTCGGTAGAAAACAGGAGATGGGCAGAGGCTTAATCCTGATATCTCGGTATTAAAAAACTGCGGTTGCCAACAATTATTAAGTAAGAAATGTGTTACCAAGCAGGGTACGTAGAGTTAGTGTATCTAATTAGAGGTTATTATGAGGCATTCTTTAGTCAAAGCTTAGTCCGCAGAGGTGACAACGCATCTGCAGCCTTTTTGTTTCAAGTTGGTTTCAGGTATAGGCCTTCAGTAGCCACCATCAGGTGGACTGTCAGTTCGTTTGTCATTTTAATTTAAAATAAAAGCCGGCCAAGTGCGAGTCGGACTCGCGCAGGAAGGGTTCCGTACCATCGTATAAACACGTTGCTAGTAGGGTAGCCCCTTTAATATTGAATTTATTTTTATTGGAACGAAGTTCTTTATCGGACGGTACGGGTTTGGTGGATGGGAGCTAGGCGACAAAAAGTGTAAGATTTTTTGCCTCACTACCCCTTGTGTAATAGTGTATTTTATTTTAAACTAGCTGTCCCCCGCGACTTCGCCCGCGTGTGATTTAGGATTTTAATTTTTTGCGCGCAACCCTAGTTATTTTTCTCAAATATAAGTAGCCTAAGTGACTCCTTATAACATCAGCTATCTGCCAGTGAAGGTCCCGTCGAAATCGGTCCAGCCGTTTCGGAGATTAGCCGGAATAAACAGACAGACAGACAGACAAAAAATTAAAAATTGTGTTTTTGTTATAAGTATCGTATATACTTTCATATGCATTTAGTAAAAAGCTGTTATTTTAACATTACAAACAGACATTTCAATTTTATTTATTTGTATAGATGACGCTTCATTTTAATAGACGCTAATAATTTATTTATTTATATTTGTTAATCAATAATATAAAATGTTTATCAATAATAATATACTACGAAAGGATCTTCGTTTCAACCGAGTGTTCCAAGACACTCACGCTTGTTTTCTTTTTTATTATAGTTTGTTATAGCGGCAACAGAAATGCACATTTTGTGACAATTTCCACTGTCTGCCTATTACGGATCATGAGATACGGCCCGTTGACAGTCAAACAGACGGTTAGCGGAGGCTTAGTAATAGGGTCCCGTTGATTACCTTTTTGGTACGGAACCCTTAAAAGAACTATTTGAATCAGTAATTATTTTTACCAGTGCTGAAAGCACATAGATTTTGGAGAACTAGCGGCGCCGCTCACTGCGCTCCGATCACATCTTTTCTCGTCGCCGCTGCGCGCCGTCGCATAGCCAGCTTGCGAGACCACAGCTGACATCTCTACTTCGATCGCGCCATACAAATATGATACATCTCCGCTCAGTGATATCCACTGGAGCTGAGTGGGGTTCAGAAGTGTGAATAATGAAGTTCTATTGGTTGTTTAAAACACATGTCTTCTCCTCTCGTCGCGTCTCCGCTTTGGTGGAGTCCAGGCCTTAAGAAGTAAACTCCAATAAACTTCAATAAACTCCAAAAAGTTATGTCCGAACATATATAAAAAATAAATAGACATCTTAAAAATACTTGTGTTGCACGCACTACCCGGGAATCGATTGCACGGGCGACCTAATTACGCCAGGCCATTGCGTGACAAGATTTTTATTCCGTGCAAATGGGGTGAAACCTGCATACATTGAATTTAGGCCAATGGGTGATCCCATATTTACCCGTCGGATCAATATCACCCTACAGGAATATATCAGAATACGAGTACTTCCATTTTTAAAGTGTAAGCTATAATACATATCTAAATTCTATCAAATTATATAATTATCGATATCTATACAAATAAATAAAATTGAAGTGTCTGTTTGTAATGTCGAAATAACAGCTTTTTATTATATACATATGAAATTATATACGGTACTACTTAAATTTTTGTCTGTCTTTTTGTCTGTCTGTCTGTTTTTTCCGGCTAATCTCCGAAACGGCTAGACCGATTTTGACGGGACTTTCACTGGCAGATAGCTGATGTTATAAGAAGTAACTTAGGTTACTTTTAATTTGAAAAAAGAATTAGGGTTCAGCGCAAAAATTTAAAACCCATGAAATCCAGTCGACGCGCGGTTGAAGTCGCGGGGAACAGCTAGTATATAAATAAAATTGAAGTGTCTGTCTGTAATTTTGAAATAACTGCCTTTTATTGAGAAAAAGCAGGCTATTTGCATGCCATTGTGAAAAAATAATAATTTTTTAAAAATTTTGTCAGTCTGTCTGTCCGTACGGTCTAATCGTGACAAGGGATGAAACGATTGTAAATAAAGTTCATGAAAAGATAGTGATGTGATAGCTTTCTATCTTAGGCTAGCTGAGTGACCTAGGCTTATATTTTATTCTAAATCCTCTGCACATTTAAAAAAAATGTTTTTATAGGATAGGGGTGACAAACGAGCACACTGCCCACCTGATGGTAAGTGGTTGCTGTGGCCCATAGACATCTACATTTATCCTCGATTACGAATCAAAATGCAGATGCGTCGTCACCCGTGAGGACTAAGATGGAATGCCTCTTTTAAAGTAAAATGGGTCTCCGGTTCTCTACACTCACCATACGAAACACAGCAGTATCTAGCTGCCATTTTGCGCTGGTATTCTGTGAGAGCGTGGTCCTTCCCCGGTCGAGCCGACCCATTCATGTAGTGTTGCCCAAATGCAAGAACAAGACGAGACTTAGCAAGTCTTGGTCTTGGTCTTGCACCAATACACCTGGTCTTGTTCTTGGTCTTGGTATTGCGCTCCGAGTCTTGGTCTTGGTCTTGGTCTTGCAGCAAGAGTCTCGCAAGTCTCGCAATGACCTATTAGCCTATTACTATTTATTAAACGTTACTTTAGATCTTAGAACAACTTAACAGAGTAGGTACATATTGAGCTTGAATTAATATAGCCATAGTAAAGACCAACCATATTAATAAATGTCTAAACATTTAATGAGAAATTCGAAAAATCAACTGACACCGGGTGGGGTTTGAACCCACGACCTAAGCGATCCGTGCCGATGCTCCAACCGAGTGTCCCACGGCCACGGGCGTCTTAATAAACGTTTACATTTAATAAGCTTACATATGCTAAAACATGGTTAAACATACATATAAAAACAAATTAATGGCAATAACTACACTGTATTTTAAATAACATTATCCCTCTAGAAAGAGATTGATGGACTCTCCCCATATATGAAATGGAATAAAAGAGTTATACAATATACAATTTATTTAAATAAAAAATAAAATACGATGCAAATTAAATTACTTCACAGTATGTACACAACAGCTTTGACGTTACTGTTACTTTATATTTATTCTTTTGACAAAGCATTAATACAAAGTAACCATCTGGCTGACTCATCACTTAACCTATTTCTATGTTTCCTAATTACTAATGATGCTTTAGAAAATAATCTCTCAGCAGGTACTGAAGTTGCAGGTATTAAAAATCACGGGCCATCTTCGATAAAATCGGATATTTTGTCTCATGCGTCCTCCAAAAGTCTAAAATGTCTTCCGAGATGACGGCTCTGGGTTTACCTAGGTACCCCTCCAACTCCTTAATAACTAAGCCTTGAAGACAAGATCCAGATCCATTTTTACACATTTCAAGTGTTTTAAAAGTGCTATGGTGTCAACCATATTTATCAAATGTGTGAAGACATATTCGAGCACTTTGTGTTTCAAAAACACACACTTGCAAAAGTCGAGATTTGCAGTGAACTTACTGAACATGTTTATCTTTTAGGTAATAATAATAACAATAATAGTAAGTAATTACTATAAATCCATATAATTAATTTTATAATAATTACTTACTAGAATAAATTATTATGATACCTACCTATTATCTAATTACAAGATTTCTTGCGAGATCAGGATAATGTATTCGTGTCCATTCTGAGCACCCGTAAACTTATTTTATTCTTTGAAACATGTACTCTGTGGCGGCAATCAAACAGTGTCAAATGTAGTGCTTGTGGCGCAGCAGCGACGATTGTATGCGATATCAATAGTAGCCGCCGGCACGTGTATCTTGACCTTGTACTTTCGAATAGCTGCACAATTTCTTTGACAAGTCAGTATCCGACCTTTGATGACGCCGACAACAAGACGCCGCGCACCATCAAAGTGGTCAAAACTAGGGATGCACTCTTTTTTCTTTTAATGGATATTTTCATTCGCTATGTATATTTATGGTATTGTTCGTAATGCGCATAAGTCCAATTTTCCAATTTTTTTTTCATTATATTTTTTACGTCTCATAGAGTCCCTAAGCGTATACCCGAACTCCTATACTCCCTGAAAGGACACTTAGTCCTAACTACAAGACGCAAGAGTCTCGCAAGCTAAGTCTTGTTCTTGCGCAAATCTTGCACGGTCAGTCTTGGTCTTGGTCTTGCTAAAAAGAGGCGGTCTTGTTCTTGGTCTTGGTCTTGCAAAAATGCAAGAACAAGACCAAGACTGCAAGACCAAGACCGATTTTGGGCAACACTACATTCATGCTACAACAGCTATACTACTAATATAGCTGCAGCATGGCTATACCACGTAAAAATGAATGGTCTTTGATGATTATATGAAATCTAAATAATTCCCACCCTTGGGGCCCCACTAGACATGTGTCATTCGCCTTACGAAAGGGGTCATTCGGGTCGATCGTTCAAATGGGTCATTTCGAGTTTCAGCGTACTCTGTGATCGTAGAGACACGCTCGATAATGTCGGTCGTCGGACATTACTATTTTAGTCTTTGGGCGTAGTTCCTATCAATCTTTTGACCCGGAACGTTCAAAAAATGTAATTGCATTGCATCATCAATACTTTGATGCGACCCGGGTCAAATGAACGGAACATTCACGATTGACACATGTCTAAGCCTCACAGCTGCACGGCTAGCATGGGCTGGGGACAAAAAAAATCCCCCAATTATATCCACTGACAAGAAATAAAATTTTCTTGTCAAATACCATATCGTGCCAAAGCACGAAAACGGGGGGGTATACCCCCGTTTGACATAACGAATAGACATATATCCCCCGTCCGTAGCATGGAGCCAAATGAAAGATAAAAATTATTCTTTTTTGAGATTTTAAAGGGACAATTCTATCCTAGTTCATTGGACGTCGGTTTAAGTTTATATTCACACAAAAAATCTATCTAAGTCGTTCACGCCCTGAGTTGCCCCGACAAAAGTCGATTGGGCTAGGGCCCATAGTAGCCACCTCGACGGGCAACAGAGGACGGCGCCCAAATGACCTATGGACAATTATTCTATAAGGGCTGCTAATCAAACAAAAACTTACCGATCTCCGTAGGTAGGGTTGACCACAGGGTACCAGTCAGGTGATAAGTGAGGTGTATGTAAACTGGTGTGCGAAAGTGTATATACATGTAACCTGACGGCCCGATGTAATCGGACAGAAGATCCACAGGCGCTGCTTTTCCCCAAATCCCTCCAGTCGTAGTTCACCAATTGAGAACTTCTGCCTTCATTTCACTATTTCAGTTTATCAACTTTATTGTACACTATTTAAATCTATCAACTTTATTGTACATTTAATTAACTTCAAACTGAACTAAATCCCCCGTTAATCGTAATCAAACAAGTGACAGACGGCACAACTAATGAACGGTCGATCAAAGTTCAACGTTCCATTTTCACTTAGCAACAAATTATAATCGAGCACACGCGGTCTCCTCTCGAGTCACAAGGTTAGTGTTACACACGACAAGCAAAAATTCTTTCGTACGATATTAAAATACAACACAAGCAAAATAAATATTGCCAAATGCACTTCGACATGCAATCACTATACAAATTAACGTAAATTACTTGCAACCGAGGTTAAGTTAATCACTCAAAACTCAAATTAGGTCTCTTGTCACGTAACACTCAAACAGACAACTCGATTCGAGGCGGTCTTAACCGGACCCAAATATTCAATAGTAAATTCAAAACGCAATAATAAACGGCCGACGCGCGGTAATTGTTCTCCGTACTTTAAGACAAGCCTCGTTATCACGAAAGGTACAAATTAAGATAACTCAAATTAAGAGGCTGTCGGGACGCGACCGCGCGGTTCAACGGAGGTAGCAGACCTCTATACTTGTCCCGACCCAGCCGCCGCTAGCAACCAACTGACTTCACACAAGCGTCCGGCGCTCGCGTCCTCTGCGGAGCGACCAAACACGGGATAGGGGGCGACGGTGACCTCTAAATTCCATCGGAAGGACGCGCGTGTTTAATGCAAATTTCAAATGCAAATATTTGGCCTAAACACTAAGTCTATCACCTATTTTATCTACTGTGGATATTATATCCACCGGTGTGCCCATTCTCGAAGGGTGGATAAAACTAAGCGGGGGGATAAACATTTTTCCCTCAGATAAAATTGTCTTCTACCCATGCTAGTCCTGCTGGGGCGCGTAGCGGCACACCCTAGGTTCTACTGGCTGGGTGCTACCAGCGAGTAGTTTACCTGCTGCCAAGTTATAAATAAGGTGTGAACAGTAGTCAACAAATAGCAGTGCTTGCCCTGCTGCCATTCGGCTTGAAGGGTAAAGAACAAGTATAATTTGAGACTATGGACTTTCCGTCTCAGTCATCAAATGCAGTTTAGTTAGGTCTTACGCATCTGTAGCTATCTTTGTTAGAAGTTAAGCAACTAACTATAAGGTCTGTAAGCTCGTTTATCACTTCGGTTTTATAAAAAAAATCTAAAAACCAAAATCTAGATTTTAAATTTAGAAAAAAACAAAATATTCATTAAAGTACGATTTATTGAAATTTACGTTTACAAAATGGCAGTGAAATAAATTTCTATTAATTTAACTAAATTACATACTAACTATGTATACATTTATAAAAATTCAGCTTGAATGGTGGTAAACCGTTTCATGATTTTGATTTTGGAACGAAGTTCCTTATCGGACGGTACGAATTTAGCGCATGCGGGCTAAGGCCGGCCACATACATACGGAATTCGGTTTCGGAATTCCGTTTCGATATTCCGATTCGGAATCCCGAACGCAGCAAGTCCATATAAAATCTATGGCCCGTCACACACGTACGGTAGTATTCCGTTCGAAATTTTGCGGACAAAACGAGATTCCGTATGTGTGTGGCCGATCCGTTCGGAATTCCGAAATGGAATCTCGAAACGGAATTCCGTATGTATGTGGCGAGCCTAAGTGTAAGCTTTTTCCGTCACGACCCCTTCTGACGTTGTGTAGACGGCCTTGGCGGCTATAAGGAAGCAAGATGGAATAATATCCATCTCACTCGCACTTTTTCTTATCTTGCCATGAAAGAAATATTATTTTATTTCAAATGACGCTTCATTTTAATAGATCCTAGTAATTCATTTATTTGTATTCGTTAATCAATAATATAATACGTTTATCAATAATAATATACTACGAAAGGAAGTTCGTTCAAACCTAGTGTTCCACGACAAGTGACGTGTTTTTTTCTTATATAATATAATAGTCTGTTAGTGATCGTGTAGGTAACTTGTAATGTATTGTGTGGACAGTGTATGAGTTCACACAATGTCCACATAATACATTTCTTTTGTCGAAATCACAGTCTATAATACCAGGACTTTTACCCTTTAAGCTTACGCTGTAGTGGATGTCCTAGTCCATTAAGCAGAATAGGAATAGAGACAGTTTCTTCGTCATCCACTATATTTTTACAAGTAATTTATTATTAATTAAATCTCTAAAAACTACTTTTGATATAAAAAACGTTGGCAACCCTAAGTTGAGGTAACGTTTCTTTGAACTCATTCAATCTTTTTCAGTCCAACCCCTTCGACCCCTGCCTAGAACAATCATCAAGACGTCCTCGTTCGGTGAACTCGTAGCGGGAGAGACTCGGGATGTACGCTTCCTTGGCGCTGATGGTGGAGTGCCTAGAATGGGGAAAAAAAAAGGAATGATAGAAGAATAAATTTTGTACAGCCGACATCAATATAAGTTATTTAAGAATAACTCAATAACTATTAGTCTGACCTTGATCAAATTTAAATGGGACCACACATTCTTTTTTATTTGAAAGCTGATGCTCCACATGTGGTCCCAAATAAATCAAGGTCTAACCAACAGTTTTTGAGTTATTCTTAATCATTTATATTGAAGCCGGTTGTACAAAATTTTTAATTTTAAATTATTTAGTATAATTCAGTTTAGTTTAATTTAAAAAAAAATTAGATGATAAAATTAAATGCTAAAACCATATCCAACGCAATATTTCTTTAAAATACAAACGTACGGACCTAGCTATTCATTATATCTACAACATTTTCAAAAATTATGAAAATTTGGCTATGTTTACGGGGAAAAAACGTTATCGCTTTTTGTATGAAAATTTGTTGCAATTAAAAGTTGTGACCCCTGAGAAAAGCTATGGAGAGGGCTATGCTCGGAGTTTCTCTGCGTGATAAACTTAGAAATAAGGATATCCGCAGTAGAACCAGAGTAACCGACATAGCCCAACGGATTAGTAAGCTGAAGTGGCAATGGGCCGGTCATATAACTCGAAGAACCGACAACCGATGGGGAAGAAAGGTTCTCGAGTGCCGGCCTCGTACAGGCGGACGAAGTGTAGGGCATCCCCCCACTAGATGGACCTGGTAAGACATGCAGGAAGTCGATGGATGCAGGTGGCTCAGGGCCGTGCTTTGTGGCATTCTTTGGGGGAGGCCTATGTTGAGGAGTGGACTTATGAAGTGCTGTAATGATGATGATGACCCCTGAGAAAATGCGTGTGAAAGATAAATCCAGCAACTCGCATTGCAAGTTGCAACAGTGCCTTTAAACTCTTTCCTCTTCCAATTCTCTCTTTTCTCTTTTTCACTTCCTTTTAAAACCCTTTCAGCAATTAAAGAGTACTACACCCAGTAGTTGGGACGTATAAAGGCTGTTATTTTCCTATCTTAATAAAAGACAAACGATAACTTACTTCCACCACCAGGCCGCTGTTGCCGCTAGCTGTACGAGCGAGATGGACTGCGAGCTCGGCGTATGAGCGAACAGGACGACAACAGAACGTGTAGTATCGTTAGTGAAACATAGATGGCGGGCTGGTATCGATCGAGCCAAGCCGCTATAGTCTGTTGACAGTTCTAGAAAAATTAAAAGGATGTGTTTTTTAATAAAAGTGAGGGTGACAAACGCGCAGTTCACCTGATGTAGTGGCTGCCGTGACCCATAGATACCTACATATTTTTATTTATAGAATGGAGTTGCTAACGAGCACACACTCCACCTGATGGTAAGTGGATGCGGTGAACCATAGACATCTACATTTACCTAGATTAAGATTCAAAGTACAGATGCGTTGTTAAACCTGAGGATTAAGATGGAATGCCTCGTTTGCAGTAAATAGGATCTCCGTCTCTTTATACTCACCATACGAAACACAGCAGTATTGAGCTGCTATTTTTCGCTGGTATTCTGTAAGATTACCGTTACAGCCTATTAAAATCCACTGCTAAACATAGGTCTCCCCCACAGGTTGCATGATAGTTATATAGATATTTGCCATAGTTGCCATGTTTGGCAACGGGGTTGGCAACTGCAGTTTTTTATTTTTTACTCGTTATTAGGAAGACGCTGCTGCCCCTCCTGATATTTTTTACTTCCGTCGCCCAACCCCCTCAGCGGCTCGTAGCCGCCTGCGCCCCCTTTTCCCAAAAGAGGGTCGCTTCCGATTCGGCAGAAAGGCCTGATAAGCCAATGCCAGTCCCACAGGTGGTTTTTAGTGGGTACACTTAGGGTGGTTAGGTTAGTCACAGTGAGTCCCACATAATCACGACAGACCGGCTGTCATGGTATGCATAAAATTTACCACCTCCTCGCGTTAACGGGGTAGCCGTTATCATTTGCTTCTGGGTGCAAAAAAAATCTTCTGTCGCCTCTTTCGGCTACCCATAGGGGGATTTAGGCAGTGGATATTCTTAGACCGTCACTAAATGGTTTAGAAAAAAGGTAGCAAAGAATATCTTTAGAGACCTTTTGTAAAAATTATAGTAACATACTTGTGTGTAGGCTCGCTCAGCGGTGCAGTTAACAGGGAAGCCACGAACACCACAACACGACCATGGCGGTTGGATCTTCTCCACTATATTGGAGCTGCAAGGTATTGGTTAATTGTAGTAAAGAAAAAACTCAGAGTTTCATTTCGGTACATTATAAGTTATGTAGGATAGTTAGATAACAAGTGCATTTCGATTAAGTCTAAGATTAAGAAGAAGTAAATTAAACACAAACTTAAATAAAAAGTCAATTATTGATCTATCACACTTACGTGTAATTATGTTCGCAACATCGAAAAGAAAGCCTCAGTGCATGATTTAATTGACCATCTTCCACTTGAAGACCCTTCTGTAATGACCGTAAAGTTTAAAAAAATAAACATATATTAGTAAACTAAATAATTAGTAGTTGATTGGTTTTTCTAGTAGATTTTAGGGTTATATAATTTAAAATAGTGTAAGTAAACTAAATAATTAGTAGATATTAGGTTTTCTAGTAAAGCATGGGCTTCCTGCATAGAATTCCATCTGAGTTGTTACTACTTTTTTGCCATGTTGCCGCCAAGCGATAGGGCTTTGAAAATAGAATCTAACTCCTGGATTCTCGAAATGTGGATTGCGGACTATCTGGGGGCACGACAGTGCCCCCGCCAAGTCGAGAAAAAAAGCGGCAGGCCGTACCATCCTTTTCTCGAAGCAGTTCAAGACATTTTCGACCCCCTATAACTTCGTTGTGGATAAAACTAGAAGCCTGAAATTTCAGTAACCAAGCATGCGTTGTATAAACACGGTATATTAAAAATGTTATTCGATTTGAACCAGTAGTTTAAGAATTATAACTAGTCAAAGTTTCTTAATTTTGTCACTCACTGACTGACATCATCAAAACTCTAAGGTACTTCTAGCAGTCGTAGAAGCTTCAAATTTAGAATGCAATTAGTGTTTGGTATATAAGTCAAGGAAAAACAAAAATATTTTGTAATTTCGGTTTAGCTTTCTAGATATACTAACTGCATAAATAACTTTGTAATCCCATATAAATATATAGGATTACAAAGTTACATTGTAGTGAATGAATCTGTGTACCTTTATTACATATATGTACAATATAATGAGATAATGAAATAGTAGATAGATACCTAGATATAATTATGTTCAAAGTTAACTTGTAAAATGGTCCACGTATGTAGTTGTACCAAAATCCCGCAAAGTATTATGTAGACTAAATTGCCCGAAAATCAGTAGTAGGTATTCAAGAAGTAGATGGTATGGTAAGGGAAAAAAGCAGGACTATCTACAAAAAGAAATGAGATGCCATCAAAAACATAACTTGTAAAAAACCAAGTCTCGCAACTCAGTTCTTCTACCATGAAAAGTTATGAGATCCATGTAATACCTATTATTTATTCTGTGGTAATACCAAGTCGGTTAATTTATTCAGTCCCTACTTAAGGGTCCTTCTGTCTCAAGTTATTACGTTAATAGCTAACCTAACAACATCATATAGTGACCATATCAATATTAAAAATCTTTTATGTTTTAAATAAATAGATTGACTTGGCCATCGCATGAAAACACAATGTATCTCACAAGTAATACATATTATATTAAATTAGATTATTTAGTGCGATTACCAAGTCATTCATAGTCAAAGTTTGTGTGCCGTATATTAGCTAATTAATTATGAAATCTTTCATACAAAATCACTCACCTCCACTAAATTTGAAGTGTAGTAGAAAAATAAAGCACATTCAAGAAGAAGCAGTAGAATCACCAGGGTTGAATACTGCGGGAGAATAGAGTGAAAAAAAACATTAGAATTTTGATGTGTTTCGTTTTAGCAATTAGATTTTTTTATGTGAATACGTTCTAATGACCGTGTAGTGGCGTTATAAGAATATCTACGATCCCCTATCATCCCGTGGGTGTCGTAAGAGGCGACAGAGGGAACCCAACCAGGAGATGGCGTCTTTCTAATAACAACTAAAAAAGCGGTTGCTAATCCGCCTGAAGCATGGCAGCTATGGCACATATCCCCCCCCCCCCCCATAAGGCAACGGATGGAGAAGGCCCAGCAGTAAACTTTTGATAGGCTGTAACGTTGTTTAGCACAAACAATTTATTATTACTAGGAATGAATGGTAATATTAGTAATGTTAATACAATTTTTATGGTTTCGCGTCACCGATGACCTCGACATGCTCTACGCTGGCGTAGGGCATGTCGTAGCCATTCAAGCCAGCGTAGTAGACGAGCATGTCTGCTACGCTGACTTGCGTCAGACTAGGGACGCGTAGTATAGCGGCCTGTGTACACGTATACGCATATATCATTGAGTTTTCACTTCTGTCGGCAGTCTTTATATTTGCCTCTGTTTTTTTTATAGGATAAGGGGCGTATATCGAGCACATGGTGAACCTGAATATAAGTGGACGCTGTCCATTGACACCTAAATCCAACCTCGATTTAGAATCAACAAGCAAGAACAGCAGCATTGAGCTGCTATTTCACGCTGTAAGCTCCCGGTCGAACTAACACATTTATATTAAAACAATTGTATAGCACGGGACTATCGTATAAATCTTTACCAAGAATTTTTTTTAAATGCAATAATTAAGTATTTAGAAAATCTATGGTTACTAATAGGGCAAACGCTCATCTTAAAATTTACGTGAGTAAATCACCAGGCTTGATACCCAAACAACATGTGGTAGAGCCATGCTGCAGCTATATTAATTGTATAGTTGTAGCACAAATGGGTCGGCCGGGAAGGACCACGCTCTCACAGAACACCAGCGTAAAATAGCTGCTCAATGCTGCTGTGTTTCGCATGGTGCGTGTAGAGAACCGGAGAACCTTTTTACTGGAAAAGAGGCATTCCATCTTAGTCCTCATGGGTGACAGCGCATCTACATTTTAATTCGCGAACGAAGATAGATGTAGATGTCTATGGGCCACAGCAACCACTTACCGACTGTGTGCTCGTTTGTCACCCTTATTCTATAAAAAAAACAACTTGAAGAAATGAAATTTTTAATTTTTTCTTGTATTCAGCGACGAAAACTATCTAGGACTTGTGAAGTTCGCCAACACGCATTGGAAAGCACGGCGGGTAAATTAAACCAGATCACGGTTACTAAAGTTTTACTTACCATAAAGAGCAGAAACTTTGAGCAGTTAATAGCGCCACAGAAACCCATGTAAGATATGAAGAAGAAGAAAATCGCCATGATAGCCAGCACGACACCAAGGTGAACGTTAAGAACATCCAGGGGGAAGAGCACCTGAAAAAAATTATGGTACTGCTGAATTAAGAACGCTCCATGGATTTTTTAAAAGAAGTAACATATTAACTTAAAATTCACCTGACGGTAAGTGGCTACTACAGTCTATGGCCACCAGTAAATAAGGAAGGTACCGTGTAATGAAATGGCGGTGTTAGAATATCCACTACCCCATATCACGCCGTGGGTGTCGTAAGAGGATACAGAAGGAAATTGAAATAGGTGATTGGCAGTTACGTCTTCTTGATAACAACTCCCGTGGCAACCATGGCAAAATCAAAAAAAGATTTGTGAGTAGTGGATTTTTATAGGCTCTAAAGGCAACATATGCGTTTGAGGACTAAGATGAATCGACGCTCTACACCCTTCAGCCGGGAACACTGCCATATTAAGATTGAAATAACCGTGCCACGTGCCAACCAAGTGCGAGTCGGACTCGCGCACGAAGGCTTCCGTACCATCGTAATACACGTTTCTAGTAGGGGAGCCCCCTGTTATTTTTAATTTATTTTTATTTTTATTATTTGTAGTTATAGCGGCAACAAAAATACAAATTTCAACTAAAGTTTTTATTAATTTAAAATTTAAAATTTTGTACAGCCGACTTCAATATAAGTTATTTAAGAATAACTCAAAAACTATTGGTCTGACCTTGATCAAATTCATATGGGACCACACGAAAACTATCAGCTTTCATATAAAAAAAGAATCATCGAAATCGGTTTACCCAGTACAGAGTTATGAGGTAACACACATAAAAAAACATACAGTCGAATTGAGTACCGTCTCCTTTTTGGAAGTCGGTAGAAAAGTTACCTCGCGTACATCCGCTCGATAAAATAAAATTATGTGTCTTACCTAGTTTGAAGAGCACCTCCCGCCCTCCCTCAATTGCGTTCATTATCTCCGTCACCACTAATCCCAGCACCACTACTTCCAACACCACTACACTAGGAAAGACACACCACTGACGACAATACGACACGTGTTTCGCCTCTACACGAGGCATCTTCAGGTGATCACCTGTGAACTCGGTGGTGTTGGAATTAGTGGTGCTGGGATTAGTGGTGACGAGGATAGTGCACGCAATTGACGGGGGGCGGGAGGTGCTCTTCAAACTAGGTAAGACCTATCATTTCATTTTTTCGAGCTGTTGTACGCGAGGTAACTTTTTAAAAAACTTTCATATAATGGATTTCCGCAAAGTAACGCCTGATTCTATTAATTATCTTAAAATTTCAACTGTCTACCTATTACGGATCATGAGATACAGACCGCTGACAGACAGAGGGACGGACAGCGAAGGCTTAGTAATAGGGTCCCGTTGGTTACCCTTTGGGTACGGAACCCTACAAAGGATGATACTTATGCAGACGCATTGCTGGACAGAAAAAGGCGTTTTATCACCTAGTAGACTTCCATCATGTCTCTGATCCAATGCAAATTACATCAGCGTGCCATTCCAGTAGCATTAAATACCGGGAGATTTGTTCGGGGAGACTCTTCGTAATGACTCAACTCAATGAATGAAAACAACACGTAGACGCGGCTTAGAAGGGAAATCGGTCTGTAGTTCTTCAAGAGAGTGTTGTCGCCTTTCTTGAAGATTAAGACCACTGCACTTCTGCTCCACGCCTCCGGAGTAGTCCCATAATGGAGGACGAAACTAAAGATACGGCCGCCTTTGCCGGTTTTGTCAAAGGCGCCGCCACAACATCAAAGGTCGCAGTGCGGCGTAAACACGAAGGAGAATTGCGCTAGGGATGGGCAAGGAGAAAAAATATATCGATATATATCGAATCTATATTTTTAATCAGTATCGATATATATCGCGTGATATTTATCACGCGATATGTATCATAAAGTTAAGTGCAGTGACCTTCTTGGTCGCATATTGTTAGCTGTTCCGCGTAAATATCCCCGTTGTCGCATCTTAAAAACATTTTATATTCCTTTCACGAAAACTCATCTCGGGAATCATGCTCCTATTGTTCGTATATGTGGCAAATATAACGAAATAACTAAAACCATACCTAGCATCGATATATTTCACGACTCTTTTAAGACCTTCAAAATTAAACTTACTAGGCATTTATCGCCTAGTTAATTAGTTCCTGTTAAAAATTATATTTTTAATAGAATCTATTTTATACTTAAATTAAAAATGTACATACTTCTTTTATTTTTTTTCCATTTGATTTTTTTACCTATTTAGTAACATAGTTTACTTAAATTATTTCTCATTTTATTGCATTGATTATATGTTTTTCCTACCTCAAATTAATTCTAAATTATGTTGCACGACTCAGTCTGTAAATGTTATGTACACTTGTAATTGATATGCATATCAGGAAATATAAAAGTGTGTAAGTTTTTGTGACAATGTCATATATGTATATTGTAAGTGTACTTGTTAAATAAATAAATAAGTATCGATACTGTTTAAAATCTCTATCTATTTAATCAATATAAATATAATAATTATAAATATAATAATCTCTATCTATTTCTCTATATATTTAAAAATTATTTCGTCATCATTTGAATGATGTAAAGATAAGGTCCAAAATTTTATTTACCACGATTTTATGTACGACGAAAAAACGATACAACATTTTAAAATATATCGAAATTGATACGAATTCGATACTCTAAAATAAATATCGATATGTCGACTATTTAAAATATCGATTTTTTTAATAAAAATGTCGATATTTCGATATATCTATATTTTTACCCAAGCCTAAATTGGGCATTTCAAAACGATGCGCCGTAGTGAAAGGTTCTTCTTTTATATAAAATAGGGGTAATAAACGAGCTCACAGTTCACCTCATGGTAAGTTATACATGTGGAATGCTGAGGCTCATATACATCTATATTTATCCTCGATTAAGATTCAAAGTGCAGATATGTTGTCAACCCTGAGGACTAAGATTATATGCCTCATTTCAAGTAAAAAAGGGTCGCCGGTTCTCTACATTCACTATACAAAACACAGCAGCATTAAGCTGCCATTTTACGCTGGTATTTTGTGAAACCCCGGTCGAACCAACCCATTCGTGTTACAACCATGTTTAGCTGCAGTATGGCTCTACCACGTGGAAAAGTACTTTTCTACTTAATTTGTTTTTATTATTTATTTTCGTATTTTACTATAATAACCATAAGAATAAAATAGTATTCTATTTTATCTTAGAATAGAAAACATTTAATTAACACACACAGTAAAAAATAACAAAATAAAAGCAAAGTAAACAGTGCGCCACCTTGTGTACCGACAATATGTTAGCAAACAACTACATATTTCATAAACCTACTACTCGCTTCTAGGCTTCACTTTAATTCGTAATAACCGCATCGCATCGTGAGGGGCGTGTTCGGTGTTGCTATTTATTTACGATCTCATATACCTTATTCTATTATACAAGCGTCATCAATATCCCAAATAAGAATCGCAGCAAAATTCATACTTATCAAAATCGTACTCTAGTACACAAAACGTCGTTGACGCCGCAAAGGGGCAAATCTCAATTTTTAAAAAAATTACAGGAGAACAAGAAATCATTTATTAAGCTTATCTTCATTGGAAAATTAAATATATTAGACTTAATAGAAAACTACAAATAAGATTAATTCCCTGATTAAAAAATCTAGTAATCGGGGAATAATAAAAGTTTTCTTGCTCCCCTGTAACTTTTTGAAATATTGAGATTCGGCCCTTTGCCGCGTCAACGACGAAATATCTACCTGTATTATTTTCCTTCTCTCACAATGGACTACTTTTCCGTTTTAGATAATCTTCTATTGAATCTTACACCTGTGTATAGTCTGTAATAATGGGTGACTTTACCGTATGTCCATTCAAACACAACACTAGATGCATTAAACATAAGTCTGTTATTGAGGCAGCGAACTTAAAAGTTCGATTCCAGAAGTAAAAAGAACTTAAAAGTTCTTCCTTGTTCTGTAACATATTTATTTACTTTTTTGACTTAATGTTTGTTTTATCTTGACGATGTTGCAAAATGTGGTCGTTGTGCAGCTTGTCTTATAAAATTAAACCCCCAAAATCGAGAAGGTTAATTCAGCTCAATATTAGTGAATCGAACCACGAACTACTTCGCCGTGATGCTTCAAAGATTGATTGAAGTTTGGTTGTGAATACCCCTGACAAACAGGCAGCCGTATACAAAGTAGTCACGCTGCAGCTATATTATGCTTGTACAGCGTATAGGTCAGCTCAACTGGAGAAGGACCACGCTCTTCCAGAATACTAGTGTAAAATAGATGTTTAATGTTTCAGTGTTTCGTATGGTAAGTGTAAAGAGTCGAAGACCCTTTTTACTGGACTAAATGAGGCATTCTTCTTTAGTCCTCAGAGGTGACAATGCATCTGCATTTTGATTCTTAATCGAGGATAAATCAAGATGTCTATGGTCAACAGTATCCACTTACCACCAGACGGATTGTGTGGTTTGCATTATGATTATTAATCGGGGATAGATGTATTTATGAGCTACAGAGCCTTTTTACCAACACGTGGACTGTGCACTAGTTTGTCACTCATCATTTTAAGATAACTCGAATCGGATTTTAAACGGATTTTATTTGGAACGGTGACTCTACCCACGCGGCAGTATTTGCTGTTGCACGTATGGGTCGGCTCGAGCCGGGTTGGTACCACGACCTCACAGAATACCGGCGTGAAGTAGAAATTGATTAGTTTAAGTTAGAATTAATCATGCGGGGAGATCTGTTTATGACTTTGCCTTGGCATATGGTCTGACACAACTGGTTACTTCGCCTACGCGAATTCCAGATGTGGAGAATCATACACCTTCATTGTTGGAGCTTCTGCTGACCTCTCATCCGGACGGATATCAGGTTTCTGTCGATGTTCCCTCTCGGCTCTTCGGACCATTGTCTGATTCGGAGTGTGATGTCACTCACGCTCCCCTCGCGGCGGATTGGGACGGAATGCGGTCTTTCTTTGCATCCT